AAAAAACAATTTGTCATAAAGAGTTGTCAATAGTAATAAAGTATATATTTATATATATCGCTCTCTTTCTCTCTATTTTTCTCAGCTTTCTTAAAATGATTTAAATGCAATTGCTTTTAAAAATAATTTGTTATTTTCATATACAGTACTGTTATGCAAGTTTTTGTGTGTATTTTTTATAAAGTAAAATTGTTAGTTACGTAAGTTTAAGTTGGCATTCAAATAGTTGACACGTTTTAGTGGTCTCGATGTTCAATACAACTGACATTTAAGTACTACTCGTTAATAAATAAGATGTTTTTTAAGGACTAATAAACAAAAATAAGTCTATTTATAACAAAAGCTAATTTCGGTTTTCTTTATATTCTTTAACTATTAAATATTAATGTCTAATATATTAGGCAATCACTGCCACAATCAATCAATTCTTTTTATTTTCAAATCAATAGATTAAATAGATCTTCAATTTAGATCCTATTATATGAGAGTAAACTTTTAATAGATATTTATTGCAATATTTATTATTTGCGGAAAATAATATTTTTTGGCACATTTTTTCTGAATTATATTATTTGCGGAAAATATGTTTTCTTCAATTTATAGTTTATTAAGTAATTATGGGCAGTGATGAATAAACTTCGTAGCGATAATGAATTTTCAATTGATGTTAATAAAACTACTAAACTATTAGATGATAGATGTGTGATATAAATTGTTTAAAATAAAAATAAATAGCAAACTATCAATAATAGATATAATGTAGGAAAAATCTTTTGTTGTTTGTCTGTTTCAATAGAGTATATTAATACAGTTTTTTAGTAAATAATCTCATAACTCCATCACTGCATATAATTTACATGAGATTTATTATAAATTATGTAAATTATAACAAAGTGTTAACTTTTAGTATTAAATATATTAAAGTGTTATCTAAAAGTAGATTAGTTTGAAAGATAAATATTTTAGAACAAATAAATCTAAAGTCAAATCAATATAAAATAAATAATAACTAAATTCATTGCAACACATATTTAATTATTAATAGCATAAACTTGATTGTCTATAATTAATAAGGAAATGAATTATTTTTTAAAATTTAGTTTGATTATTACAAAAATTGTGTTTTTTGATTTAATCAATATTATCATTTAAATGTATTTATATCAAATAATAATAATAATCGTTAATAATTTTCAACAGCTAAAACTTGAAATATTCATATTTATTTTAAAAATGAAATGCCAAATAAAATTTTATTTTATTAAACCAAATAATATACAAAAAAACAAATTTTATAGCTTTAAGCAAAACAATATTTACATTCATATAAATTTATATATATATCAAATTAATTTTGTAATACAAAATAAGTATACAAATATAAAAAATTTAATTAACTTAAAATAATAGAAATAATTTAAATTTATAGCTATTAAATAACAGTTATTCTCACATTAAATTGCAAAACATTGATATTCCTCACGAGTTTTGAGCGCTTAATTAGATTTGTTGAGACATTTTTCTAACTCAATGCCATAAATATATTTACATTATTTTTACTAAACTGTATGTCTCATAGATATGAGGTACCGGAGAATTGGTCATTAAATTGGTTTTATCTTAAATTTTAGAAATATTTATAATTAGAGATACATTAAAGAGATACAGTAACCAAGATTGTGTGGCAATCAAGTTATATATACTGTATATACAATATATATATATATGCGGCATAACTTTTTGGTATTTCATATACAGGTATAAATGTAAACTATATTAAGCACTTAATTTACGTATTTCCTTGAGATATGTCTCAAATGAAATGAATCAAATAAATTAAACGCATTTCTGTGTTGATCTTAAATAAACATGTTTTTCATAAACATTTTTAAAAAAAGAACTATACATTTATGTAAAGTTTTGTTATGACTTTTAATTAAATCATTTTTCATACAGTAGTTTTGTCAGTATTTTTTTTAGTTAGTATAATAATAATTATCTAAAAGTTACTAAATATTGCAAACATTGCAATACTTATTACACAGTTTGTATGACTTTTGACTTATAATTAAAGAAGAGTTCATTTACCAAAAAAAATCGCTTTTTAAAATAAAATTTTTATTTATGTCTTTTAACTTATTTTAAAACATCACACAAACACATATGACTTACTATTTTAAAATCAACTAAAGTATAAATTATAGTATATTTTTAAGTTTATTTTTGTGATAACTTTATTAATTACATTCACTCTGAAAAATACTTTTACTTTACAATCGTATGATTTATTGATAAATAACTTCTTTTCCTTTTTTCTCTTGATATTCAAATTATAAGGATTTTGAGTGATTTTATTATTTTTATATACTTTTATTAATGTTATTTAAAAGCTTAAAGTAAAATGAAATAAAATAACATAATATATAAGATTGTACTCAATATTATGTTTCTGTTTTTAACTCATGATTTTTTGTATTTATTTAATATATTAGTGTGTGTTTGCAAAGCACTCAAAAATATCAATTCATTTAATTAAAGTATTTTATATTAAGTTTTGTATTTATTTACTGTTTAAAACTAAAGTAAATAACAATTGTAACAAAAATATCCAAAATTAGTAGTGCTTTACACTCTTTATTACTCATATTTATATGTTATTTTAATAGTAATTATATCATATATTATATTACTATAGAAAAGTGTAAATAAAAAATTTAATGATAACATTATTTTGAAAACAAATTTATTTTTGAAATATTTTGCAAATTTAAATATTTTATGATTCATAAAATATGAAATTAGTCTTAAAATCTCTTATTTCTGTAATTAAATCAAAGCTATAGAGAAATACTTTACTATATTTGAAGCGATTAAAAGTTAATAACTCTTTCTCTGATCAAATCAAGTCAATAATGATAACAAATAAATTTTTGTCACTAAAATAATTATTGATAACTTAAATGATATAATTAATATTTTCCAAAACAATATAAAACAATTAAATTAAGTGTTAATTCATGTGATGAGTTATTTCATAAGTTTTGAGTAATTGAATAATAGTTTCGATACGGACTTATTAGTCGATTCTTTAAATTAAAAATTGTTATTTAATTACATATAACACATACTCATATATATATCGTATATATACTGTATTTGTTTATTATATTGTATCGCTTATGTGTAGAAATTTGTTGAGACTATTGGTGCATAAGTCTGGAGGAAATTGTGAGAATAGTTTTTTGGTAGACAACTGAAAAAAGAGAGTTAATCAGTGTTTGACTTATTGGGAATGTAATGAATCAATACATTGATTGTATATTCAATTGTATAAACCTATGATATATTATAGTAAATCAAGCGTTTAATAAAAAGTGATCACTTGTTGAACCAAAGCCTTGTATCCTAACATCTAATTTGAAAATATATATATATAATATACCGCATTATTTACTACACCTGACTGTATATAACTATAATACTGGTATTTGACTGAGCCCTCTATGACCTTCAATGACCCTAACCTTAAGGCAAGTGCATTGGCGATAGTATTCATTGATATATGAATGCTAAACATTATTTGAGGAAAGGGCTCAATGTTCGGCTTAAATATATATTTGTGTCCACTGTTTGTCATTTTTTATATTTTCTACTATTAGTACTATTACTACAACAACATCATCAACAACAACAACAATCATATAAGCAATTGTTGAATAGTTGATAGCATATGAGTTGAATTCATAAAACTTGAATGTAGATTGAATTTAAATTATATGTCATAAGAAAAATAGTAAAGTATATTGAATTTAACAATTTTAATATAACCGCACAGTAATCAACATACCTAACCATTGAACCAAACTTTGAACTGAGTTTATGTCCCACTGCTTGTTATTATTTCAATTTATATACTGTATATACAGTACAATCAAATAAATTTTTACATATAAAACTATGTTTTATTAATTATGTAATATATTTTATATATAATAATAAAACAATCGATTCTAACTTGATTTAGATAATAATGATGAATAATATTATTTATTAGTCACTATATATAAATAGATCATAAATATAATAAAGACCGAAATATCATTTTAATAATAATAATAATTTTATATGAAATATTTGCTAATAAAAATTTCTATTTTATAAATAATAAATGTTTTTAGTCAAATTAGTAGATAAAAATATATTGAATAATTCATTCATCATTGAAATAATGATAATTATAGTCAAATATGTTGATAAGTGATACATGTATGTTACGTGAATAAAAAATAAACATTCAAAATGAAATATGTGGGACATATTTGAGATATTTCTAGATTTATTGTAATTAAAAAATTTAATGTAAAAGTAAAACTTATCATTAAGTGTCTTGATAATGAAATATTTTATATGCAGTTTATATATATACCTGAATTATTATAACGGTTATAAAGATAAACTTTAGACAAAGTTTGGTTATCAGTAATACTGTATATTAAATACTAGTTATGAAAAAAGCTTTTATTATAATATCATATACCGTATGATATATAACAACAAAGGAGTTGTTTAATACATGTGTTTACTAAAATTGTTAGTAAATTTGTGCTAAAATAGTGATCAATTAGCACATGTTATAGTAAACTAATTTAGTTGGATATTATAGAAATTGGTATAAAAATAACCGGTTTTTTGATGGCAACCGAAAGATCATAATACTAGTAGTGGTGGTGTTTTTAAGTCTGTGTTGAGTCTCTGCGATACGATATTTACTTTAGTCATCATAAGGTATTTCAGTGGTCCCTTTGTTATCACAATTTGCTTGAAAAAAGGTAAAGCAATTGTGAAAAAAAAAACTTTTTAGAAACCAGTTTCAAGTGATTGAGTATAGAAAACATGCGCGCATTGAATGGCAAACCATCTCAAACCTGGGCAACAGTTCCCACTCTCATGAAGTAACTCTCAGATATACTGTAGTTGTTGTTTTGGTTTGTATACTTCAGGCACAGGAGATGGTAAAGAAGTTGATAGAGAAACTGTTAAACTCAAGCGGACGAGAGCTCAGGAGAGCACTGTTTTCATTAAAACAAATATTTCAGGTATCAATTGAATACATTTATTATTATTTTTATATAAATGATTGACAATAATCTCAATGATTCAATCATATGTTTGATGTGTCAAATGATGGCAAAAACAAAAAGGATGACAAAGATCTGGTACATGAGTTCATTGTCCACAAAGGACTCGCTTGTCTTATTAAAGTGGGCTCTGAAGCCGATCAAAATTCTCAGAATTATATCTTAAGAGGTAAGACATTACGACACTCCAGTTGTTTATGTATATACAGTATGTCTTCATATGTTAACCGCTATACCTGTGCTTTATATTATTAATACTACGAAAACTATTTTTAAATAACTTTTATAATTCATAAGCAATTATTGCTTTTCTCTAAAATCTTTATTCATTATTTTTGTGCTCAAAATAACAAATACTATATTTGAGTCCACAATATACTCGTTTAATAATTATATATATGGCTTACAGTTTGTCAGTGACTCAAATAAAAAAAAAGTTTTGATTACAATTGTTGGTCAGACAACATAACAAACACATAGATATTACTATAAATGATATTTATAACTTTAAGCTGTATATACTGTATATTTATATATATATATATATATACAATATATTGTGTTTATATAATACCTTATACTGTAGTACTTTAAATAATATAATCCATTCTTTATGATGTTATTATACTAGCATTAGGACAAGTGATGCTTTACGTGGACGGCATGAATGGTGTCATTGAACACAATGAGACCATTCAATGGTTTTATACTCTCATCTCATCTCAGGTAATATATACTCATAAAAAACATTTCAATTTAAGGACTCATCACTTATATAATATATTTATATTTAAGTCCTTTTTAGTGTCATAAATGATAGTATTGCTACTTTGCCGTTAGTTTCATAACTATTTTTAATCACTATTTTTATTACTGTTTTTTTATAATAATGTTATGTGAAAATTATTTAAAAAGTTTTAACTATATATATATATATATATATAAATTGCTGAAAATCCCATGAATTCATATTTATATATTAATCTTATTTATACTCATGTGATGTAATTTGCATCTATAGTACCGATTAGTTGTAAAAACAGCACTAAAACTACTTCTGGTATTTGTTGAGTACTCGGACAGCAATTGTTTGCTTTTAGTCAACTCTATAGACACCGTTGACTCCGAAAGAGGTATTATTTGGACCACTATTTCAAACACATTCACAGATATTTTGTTATTATTTCTTTACATTTTTTTGTCGTTTACTTTTAACTTCATTGTTAAAGGATTGAAACCGTGGACTAATATAATGAACATAATTAGTGAAAAAGATTTGGCAGACATTGAGTTAATTATTATTTCAATGACTTTGATTAATAAAACAATGAGTGGACTTCCAGACCAGGACTCGTATTATGACGTTTCCGATGCACTCGAAGATCAGGGAATGGAGCGAATTATTCAGCACTATATGTCCAAACAGGGAACTGATAAGGAATTGTTACAACAGTTCCGCACATATGAGACAGTCCTGAGACATGAGGACGGCGATGACGACGGCAGACCTGAGACCCAGAAAATGATTGTTCGCCACAAAAGTAGTATCGGAATCGATAAGAACCGACGTAAGAGTAGACGTCATTCGTTTGGAACCATTCAGTCAGTCGGCAATAATCATAAGACACAGATTATGACTAATGGCAACAAAAACAACGGCAATCTTCCGTCGTGGCAAAGAAAAGTGATTCAACAGACAGAACAGTACAACAAAAAATTAATTAACAACAACAACAACAATGTGAACACAAATGACTTCGAAGACATTCATACAAATTTAAGATTAAGAAAGAGCTGTGATTTGCGTCAAAAGTGTTTGATTAAAGAACATGAGATTAACCAAAGATCGAGTATCTCTTCGTGCAGTTCTAACAGTTCTGCCGACTCTTACGGAAGTTTTGCCTCTTATGGCAGTTATGGCAGCGGAGAAGAAAAGTTATCAGCCGTTGAAACCATCAAAATTCTTCCGCCATCAATGTTTGACAAGAATGTTGATGACAATAACAAGAAGAATCATCAGATCTCATATCACAGCAAACAAAATATTACAACAAATCAATGGGAAAATAATAATAATAACACTTCTTTTAATAATTTAAATAATAATATCAATAGTAATAATAATTATGTGAAAAATGATAATTCAAATGGTGTTAAGTCAAAGTTAAATGATATAACCTCTCATATTAGTGGACAGTATGTTGTGAACAAACAGACAGTGAATGATAAAAAGTGGATGATTTCGACGTACGCTAAGAACTTTGAAGAGCAGACAAATCTAGTGAATGGCAAACAAATGCCAATTAATAACAACTGGAATTCAAATACCAATACCGACAGTATAATTGAAAATCATTTAAAATCCTCAAACAATGTCCGCACAATTAAAGAGAAAATTATGAAACCAGTGATAAACACAACAGTGACCGACCCTATGATTAGTGGAAGTCTACAGAGATTAATCAGTGCCAAAGAATCATTATCTGATCCAAAGTGTCAGCACGAGTTCTTACAGTGGGATCAGATTGTTAATACATTGTCGCGACCCCTTCTTATCAATGATTTGGACTTTACTGATCTTAGAGACGACGACGACACCGATATCTTAATTGCCAACAGTCATGTGTCAAATACACCTCCTTTTAATACTAATAATTTATTGCCGCCCCCACCGCCACCAATGTGTAGTACACCTCCTCCCCCACCACTACCTAACTCAGGTGCAATTACACCACCGCCACCTCCATTTGCTACACGTATGGGAAACTTGTCGTCGCAATTGTTTTGTAATCAAAGGTCACAAAGTACACCATCGCCGACGCCATCACCCGATTTGTCTAATAATTCAAAGCTAATACCAAAGAATAAAAAAACAATTAAATTGTTTTGGAAAGAAGTAAAAGAAGATAAATCATTATTAAGTCGGTTAATGAAGAAGAAGACTATTTGGGATGAAATCAAAAGCGTTTCGGTCGACACTCAACGTCTGGAACACCTGTTTGAAAGTCGGGCCAAGGAGTTAGTCAATAAGGTATGTCCTCTTTATGTTCAACTCATGTTTTTCATGCATTAAATGACCATGGCTTAGGTATATACTGTATATATATATATATATACAATAAATTTATATATACTTAACATTAGGTTGCCATTGATCAGTGTATTGTTTTTACAACAAAATTAGGTTATTACTGAATAATAACTTTTCTAATATGATTACTGAATGCATGACATTTACTAAATTGCATTTAACTATTATAACATTATATACTAAATATTGGATGCAATTTGATGTATTGGTAATATATTAATACTGTACTATATATTAATAAGTAATGCATTTTGTGCAACCAGGAAAAGTGTCCAGGCATTTATTTGCATATAAATTTATAATATATTATAAAATGTTATACTTTATAGTTATAATGATAATAATAGTAGTAGTATTATAGTTGTTGTTGTTGTAAAAGTTAACAAAAAGATTTATTTTATGAGATATGCATATCTTATGCTCTTATTTTAAAAATAGTTTGAAAGTAGTATACATGAAAAGTGTGTTAACTAGTTTACTTGAAATACTGTATTATTTATTATTATGTTATTTATAATAAAATATGTTTTTCCTAAATGTTTACGTAATCTCTAAATTCTATCGCCTATTCAAGGATTTTATATGTGAAACACGTTTTGCATAACATATGAAATCTACATATTTTTATAAATAAGTTCACGTATTGCTATTGTTGAATATAAATTCCATTGCTTATTTTTTTTAATTAAAGTATCATGGTAACATAATTTTTATGCATATATAGATATAATATTAATAGTTAATTATACCATGATAAATAGTATAACTATTATTGAAATTAGCGTTAATTAAAACAAAATGCATTACTTCGATAATCATTAAACTAAATTTACTATAATATAACTAATTGACAATTTTTTCGGGCAAACACTTAATATTTTTTATTTTTATTTTTTATTGCTGCAACTTATTTAACATAAATATTTTTGAATGAATCGCTTAAATAGGAGGTAAGGTTTTGTTTTTGCAAAGTATTTAATATAATATATTTAATATAAATGTAAATGTAATTAAAACTAATTGAATTTAAACAAAAATGTATAGAAAGGTCAGGAATCGTCAAAAAAGAGTGAAATACTAGTGTTGGACACTAAGAGGTCGAATGCAATCAATATAGGAATGACAAAACTACCGCCGCCTCACATCGTCAAGACTGCTATCTTGAAGATGGACTCAACTATTATGAACAAAGAAGGTATTGAAAAGATATTGTCAACAATGATGCCAACGGACGACGAGAAGAATAAAATACTTGAGGCACAGAACTCCAACCCAGAAGTGCCGTTAGGATCAGCTGAGGCTTTCCTGTTGACTCTCTCTTCAATCACTGCTCTCGAAGCACGACTCAGATTGTGGGCGTTTCGCTTAGATTATGATTCAATGGAGAGAGAAGTGGCCGAACCATTGATGGACTTAAAACAAGCGACGGCTGAACTGGAAAAATGTGAAAGTTTTAGGATTGTTTTGGGAACTCTGCTGGCAATCGGTAACTTTCTTAATGGTGTCGAAGTAAAAGGTTTTCAAATCGATTATTTATCGAAAGTACCCGAAGTTAAAGACACGGTTCACAAAAACTCATTACTTCATCATTTGTGTCATATAGTAATGGAAAAGTATCCCAAAAGTAGTGATTTGTACAGTGAATTAGGAGCTGTTTCCAGAGCTTCGAAGAAAGATTTTGATGAAGTGTCTAAAAGTTTACAAAAAATGGAAATGGATTGTAAAGCTTCGTGGGAACACTTGAAAGTGATCGCCAAACACGACGGTTCAACGCCAATGAAAGTACGGATGTCTGAGTTCTTAGCCGATTGTGCCGAACGTATCATTGTTTTGGGAATTATTCACAGAAGAGTTATCAATAGATTCAAAAAATTTCTTGTATTTTTGGGACTTCCTTCTCATCAACTGAAGGAAACCAAACCTAACTCTGTATTGAAGATTATAAGCGAATTTGCATTAGAGTACAGAACTACAAGAGAGAGGGTTAAGGAACAGTTGGAGAAAAAAGCTAAACATAAGGAAAAACAGAAACAAAACAAAGAAAAAATTAATACAGAAGTATAATATATTTATAAATATTAAACTATTTTTATTATTATTTATTAATTTTAATTTTATTAGACAAACAAAGTTAAGGCAAAAGCTTTGGAAGCGGATCACGAACTCAAACAAATACTAATCAGTGGAAGTGATTATGAATCAGAAGGTTGTGGCGGACGACCCACCAAATGGGGTACACTTCCCGGCACTAAATTAAGGCGTCCATCGAGTGGATCGATGACTAACTTGTCAAACATTAACTCAACGACAACCCATTCCCGACCTCCCGCTCACTTCAGACACAGTGTTAACATCGAGGCCTATACTGAAGCCGACGACGAGATTATTGAGAGTTTTATGAGAACCACAACACAACCCAATCGTACTGAACCCAGAAATAGACGAAAAGTTAGATACGAAAGGGCTTCGTGTATGTTGTCTTTAATTTCATATTTTCTATATTTGTATTTAAAATTTTATTTTAATATTATAGCCGTCAATACTAGACGTACTCTGAAGAATGGTTTAGATTTATCAGAAGAGGAACGCCTAATGTTGTCCACTCTCTCCACTTGATATGATTGAGTCCTTCACTATTTTATTCGCATTTTATAAAAAACTTAACGCTTTTATCATATTTATATTTATATGTAATTTATATGTAATAATATTTTAACAAATGATTTGTTTAAACTGTGATCTCTAGTGTTTATATTTATATTGATATAATTGTAATTATCTATTTTGATAATCCACGACATATAGTGATTGAGTGATACTACAGTATTATAAATATTTTTAGTACGATTTTCATCGAAAGTGTCAATATTTAAATCAAAATAGTTTTGTTTTATTAATATTTATATTTATAAAATCGCAATAATACAAATAGCGAAATCAAAATTATGTTAATTTTTTAATTTTAATTTTTCAAAATGTTTAAATATTTATAGCAAATGAGTATGATAAAATGGATTATCAATAGATAATTTACAATGATCATTTTTATTAATAATACATTTACTAAATAGCGAGAGCTTCAAAACCAAAGTGGAATATTAGTGCTCCAAAAGATTTGTATTTATTATATATAATAATAATATTTAATAACATTTCTCTAATATTAGATTTGATTAAACTATAATATATTTTAATAACATTACAGCATATAACAAGAAAATATCCATTTTGTGATAACATTAGCTTAAAATATAAGTTTTGAGATATTGTTTTATTTCTAATATATATATATTTATATAATTATTATTTATGTTATAACTTACTTAAATAAATAGCATATCGAGTATTTTAATAATATAATAGATTTAATAGATACATAGTGTAAATAAATATATATATATATTAAGTGAAATATTGACACAAAAAAATTATTTTCATTATTTATCGGGTTTTTAACACACTTTGCAATTATGTTAACTTAATATAATATATATACAAAAATATAAATTATTTAAAAATAATAATTGAAAATGCACTACAATTTATTTGTAGTCATTAAAACAATTATTTTTCAAAAACAATATTTATAGTTTTCCTTGAAAACAAAAACATTTTAATAAAATTGAAATCCTAGTCATTCTCTCAAAACTAATAAATCAGTTGTTATAAAAAATGTGTTTTTATTTATTTAAAAATTTATAAAAAATTAAATTATATCGAAAATTGTGATTTGGCAGCGATTTTTGAAAACTATTTTGTTTGTTAATCTCTTACTTTTATCGTAGTTTAAAGTTTTTAAGTATTTATGAATACAAAAATGACCTAAAATTTTTATAACTTAACTAAAAGTTATTTAACTTTTATGAATTCAAAAATATTTTTTTTAATTACAGTATATTATTAATGAAAGTGAAGTCATTGTTATTGAAAACAACTTAATAATAACTATTTTTGAGAAAAAACTTAATAGTAGTCTAAAAAATATTGCTTAAATAATAATACAATTATTGTAATAAATAATAATGTAATAAATATATTGTACTTATATAATAAAAATTGTAATAATAATTTGTACAATAAATACGTTGGCATTGAAATAGTTATCTTAGGCATTGTTATAAATTTATAAAATTTAATGTTTGAAAAATATATAAAATATTTCACCAAAAATAATATTTTTAATACTTATGTATAGTACAGTCTTAAATTAGATGACAATCGTCCACTTATTGCACAATGAGTTGTACCGACAAAAATCAACTAAACCTATCCTTTAACTGAATTTATCATTTAGAGTAAAATTATTTGATGTATGATTTGAAAATACAAATAGTAGTGATTAAAAATTGAATATTTTGTCCATAAAATTAATATTCAGTTTGATTTACAAGTTTTAAAAGTTCCGTAAACTAAGACTAACTGTCGGTTCATACCTTGTTTTAAACAGTTGTTTAGTAATAAATGAATAGCAAGAATAATAAACTAGAGGTGAGTTATAATTTGTGCAAAACTTTAAAATAAGTTTTTTATTTAATGATAATTTTATGGATAAATTTTTCTCGAAACAGTCTATTAATAATGACAAGCCTTCGTCTACTTTTTCCCAAATAATTTATTTTATTTTATATAAATATATCAAACAAAACTGTATATTTTATTATTTATTATTTACACAATTTTTTAAAAAAATTTAAATCAGTATGTTTTCAATATATTTAATGCTTAATAAAGAGAATAGTTATACTGGTATATTAGCATTTAATGTATAATTAGTCATAAATTATTAGATTTTATTATTTTGCATATCTCACGGGTTTTTTAATTTTGATTAAAATTCATAATTACTTTATTGTACACTAGAGATAAGGCAAGATATTGAAAATCTAATATCTTATTTTTCACCACTAAATTGAATAATTATCTGTATTTTATTAAAATATTAGACAATTTAATTAAAAAATACACTCAAAATAACTGGAAAAATCCAAAAAATGTTATCCATATTAATATTTTTATGCCCACATGTCATCTGTGCTGGAAGTGGTTTCACTAAATAAAGACAAACGTTAAGACATTTTAACCTCATCTATAACATTATATTTCTCATCTGAACCATCATTATTATGATTTCGTTCAGACCTTTCCACATAAGGTAAGCCGTGATCACCATAACTGTCATAATTGCCATAAGTAATCAAATTCAACATTTCTGGCTTAAAGTCTAATAAGAAGTAAATCCATGGACTCATTTGTGATCCATCTTCTAATATAACAGGAGTTTCTAATCTCTTGTAATAAGTCGGATGGCATTCAAATTTATCCAAGAAGTCTCTCATTTTATCGTCGACTGAATAAATTTCACCACAAATTTTCTTAATAAAAGCGTTAATAAAATAATTGAATTCATATTAATAGCATATAAATAATTAAAGTTTTAGATTTAAATATATAAATAGTTTTATGTATAGAATATTTTCAATTTTGCATTTCATTATATAATTATTATACAGATTATGCAAATTAATTGGACTTAAATATTCTATCTATAAATCAATTTTTTGAATTTAAATATATTTCATATAAAATGTATTACTTTTCCAAAATCTTGTTTATTTAATAGGAAGGGTATGTTATATTTAGATGATATAACAAGTGGCCACTTGTCCACTGTCTGAGCTTTACCGACAAATTTAGAAAAACCATTGATTTTATCATTTAACAGATAATGATTTGGTTGACCTGTAATTTAATACATATTCATATACAGTAATAATGTTGAGAAACAACTCTTAATATTAATATTTATATAATATATTGTATATTTCGTACCAGTTTTAAGAGTGCCGTAAACAAAGACCAAATGTCCACTCATTTCTTATAGATATCTGAAAAATAATTGAATCCAATAATAATAATAATAATAATAATAATAATAATAATAATAATAATAATAATAATAATAATAATAATAATAAACTTTTGTTTTGAAAAAATAATGTTTACTCGAATTACTATAATATTAGAGTAATAATAATTATTTAAATTATAACTAATTACTTATTTAGTTTGAATAAATTTGCCTAAATTATATTTTTTAATTAAAATTTAAAGTCTTTTTTATATTATTTAATTATTTATTTGATAGTTGATTCAACTAAACTTTATTTTTTATATATTTCACATAAAAAATATTTATTTGATTTTGAATTTAAAATATTCAATATTCACTAATTTTTTAAGTTTACACAATACATAATTAGCTTTTGATAAAACTAGTAATTTATGTTTTATAATATTTAAATTATTAAATAATATTTAATATTATTTAAATAAAATACCAATCAATGAAAATAACCAAGATACAACTTTAATAAATATTAATTTAATATATTAATAATTCAATTTATAGAAATTGATTTAAATTAAATCTCACAATATTTGATTATACAGTGGATTAATATATTTAGATATTATATTATTTATTATTAATACATCACATTTGAAATTATGATATAAAATCTGTTTGAACCGAAACAACACTTTTTGTAAATTAATTTATCACAAATAATATCAGCGTTTTGACCTAAATATGTATACTGTATACAGTGTATAATGTAATGTATCATCAATGTTAATAAATAAGGCAAATAAAAATTTATAAAATAATTTTGATAATTAATTTTAATTGAATTTTTAAAAATATAAAAATAATCTATAATTTTAAACGATAATTGTTACAAATTAGATATTTATAGTTGCATTTTCACTATTAAAAAATGAAATATTATATTTACATTAATAGATAAATAAATTTTCTATTTTACTTCTCCTTATTATTAATAGTATGACTTAATATGCGTTAATAAATATATTTTTTATATTATAAAGTTATATAATTGCAAATTGCAATCTAAAGTGTAACATAAGTCCAATAATTAGTGAATAAAACTATAATCAATCAAATTAACAAAACTAATCAAAAGTCATCAATAAATCAACATTTATTATAAAAATTACGATATATTTCATAATAATAATAAATAATAATAATCTGTAGACACAATCAATAGACACAATCAGTGGACATAAAAATAATAAAATTTAATAGAAAGTTAAAAAATTTAATAATAATTTGTTTAAAAAAATATATAAATATTATTCACATTATATTATAATTAGTCAAACAATGACGTGATTTGTGTAATATTTTCTATACTTTAAAACAAATGTTTACAAAACAAAGTGTTAAGACATCGATGAATGCAATGTATGATTGATTGTGAAGACAACTCATCTCTGGTGTCATCAAAAGCCATCGCAATGTCTTCATTAAGTGAGTCGTCGTTGTGCTCGACGTGTACCTCATCTTCATGTGATAGCAGTCACTCGTCGATGACTCTCAACGATGAAGACATGGATTATACGAATCTATTGTCCGATAATTGCAAACCATTTTTGTTTTATTTAAAGTTATTGACTAATGAAGAAACAGATAAAGACAAAGACAATCATACTTTTAAAGCAAGTGATGAACATAAAGATGATGTGATTAAAGATGTTAAACAAGTGAACGATCGGTAAGTTATGGTATCAAATGAGTGATGATTTTATTGAACAACAAATGATATCAATTGGTTTGATTTACAGAAACACTGGACTCACTTCTTGGCTTTTCGGCAACAAATCCTTTAAACGAAAGAGTTTTAAAAGGAAGAGCAGTCAGAAAAAAATATTAAAAGAAGTGATCGATAATAACAACGATAATAATAATCCATCGATTAATGTCACAGTTTGTGATGATATTAATGTTAATGAAGTTAAGACAACAAACAAGTTATTAGATTTAATTGAAGGCAAATGTGAGACATTTGTCTCGAAGATTGATAACAAATTGATTTTATTATATTTAATGCCTCCAAATGACATTCAATCTGATTGTCTGCTCTATTCATATCCTAAAGTGATAGAAAATGAAGACATAAACCCTGTTTTGATGAATCTTAAGGGTATGTTTGTTACGCTATCACAAGTGGTCTCTCAGATAACTAATCAATGCATCAAATTGTCATCAATTACTGTAAATCACGAAAATCGAAAACAAATCTACAAAACAGGTTTTATTCACGAAAAGGACAGTTTGCTTGTGTTAGCCCTTCCCAACACTTTTACCGACATTCAAGTTGAAGGTATGGTTGAAACCATTGCCAGAGTTTTACGATTTGTATATAAATCGATGGATTCTGCATTTAATGATCAATCAAAACATGAAAATCTTACAAAATTGTTCTCAATTGTTGAATATCTCTTATATGAAGATTCGAAAAATTTAACAATTGATTCATTATTTATTAATTCAATGAAAAGATTAATAATTGATGACGAATTAGCCACAAATCTTAGCGATTCTCTCAGTGAATTTGAAGCTATGGATTGGATTAGTGATAACTCGACTTTTGACTTAAGTTCACAAAATAGTTGTCAATTTATTGTAATCGGTTCTTGTCTTATATATAAAGGATTATTATTATCATCTCATTTGCCAAATCATCACTTGAAAGACGTATATTTCTATTTGACTGTCAATGGATTTCTTTCATTACATAAAAGCCATTCAATAAGACTAATCATTTGGAGTGAAATATTTCCTAATTCTGAAATAATTAATGTGTTTGAAGACCAAAATGTTAAATATATTATATTAATAGTTGGTTTTCAACACCTGATCCATTGTACTCTTATTGAGTCACCTCTCGTGCATTCAAATGAAACACAGATTACTGTCAATGAACTGATAATTAATGAATCGATTCGGTTATTGAAATGGCATTTCTCGAGAATTGGAGTAATCGATGAAATCGATGACTGTTTTAATATTCAAACAATGGCTGCCAAACAAATCTTTAGTTCCAATAAAGAACAAAAACGTTACAAATCATTGTCTTCATTAAAAGATCTACTGTTTCTTAGTCCGGCCTCTTCTCAGTCGAGATCACAGATATATCATTCAAGTAGTTCTTTGGCATCACTTGAAGGTTCCAGTCTTTCAGCATCTATTAAATCCACTTCCAGTCCTTCATTACAATACTCAATGCTTTCTCGTAGCCATTCATCGAGTACTACTAGTTTGAGTCAAAATACATCTAAAGATCAAATCAAATACAATAAGACTTATTTACAGCAAAATATTAAACTTCCAGAGAATCTTATCTGTTATTTAAATATAGAAGACGGACAGGAAGTGTTTGCCGGACCACTTCTTCAGTTACCGAAAAATATTTGTGAAAAGATATTCAAGAAATTTACTGAATGTTGTTATGAAATGAGTCAATGCTTCAGACATTCTTCAAGTCATCAGATGTGTCATGAAATTGGACGTACTTTTCAATTAAAGATTTCGTCAAATTTTTTGAGTCCAAATAAATTGAAATCAAAGAAATCAGATAATGAAATATATTTATTTAATGTTATTGGAAGACAACAAACAAATGTCGAGTTTTATGCCTGTTTTAAGACAAATACAAATGAATCTCAATTTACAGACTTTGATATCGAAGACTTCATATATGGTCTTCATTTGCAAAGAAGAATATTATAATTTTTAACTCGAATTTCATGTCAAATATTTACATAAAACAAAAAACTTTATTATCTGTGTATAAATTATTTTCATTTGTGATAAAACGTTTGGTAAATATGATATTAAAAATTATAAAGCAATAATAGTTTATAATTTAAAATATTATTTCGTTTATATATTAAATCTATTTTAATATAAAGGTTTAACATTTTAAAAACAAAATTTATTAGTTTATAATTTACATTTATATTATATATTTAAAAGTTTACTTAATTGGTAATGGTTATTTTTTAGTGAATTTAATAAATACTTTTTTATTGTTTTTACAAATGTTATAATTATTTGTATAATATTTAATCTTAAACTTAGTGGCAAAATGTCATAATTCAAAACTTTTTTGATGTCGTTTTAAAGTAATTAACTTATAAAATATTTTGATAAATACTACAAATCTATAATATATTTATTAGAACCAAATTAACACTTATTTGTGATAATAACATATAAATCAGTAAAAAAATAAAATAGTTATATTGTAATTGCTGTAATTGTTTTAAAGTTTAGTAGATATATTAAACATTTAATATAAACAATGGTATTATATGACATCAAATCAAATTGTAATTAAAATGGTTCAAACTTTATACTATTAAAGAACATTTGTATACACAATATTTACACTAACATAATGCATAAAAAATAGTGTCTGCAAAATATCAAAAATTTTGATTTAAATTTGTCAATATATAGATATACAGTATAGATTAAATTTGTATATTTCTAGTGATGAAATTTAGCTAAAGTACAAATATTATATAGTATATATATACCAGGGTTAAACAAGGGGGTAGAGGGTTAAACAAGGGGGTAGAGGGTTAAACAAGGGGGTAGAGGGTAAGGCCAAAATACATACTGAGATCGAAATTTTGTGATTTTTCCCGACCAGACTTTTTGACCAAATTGAAAAAATTTTCGCTTAAAAAGAAAAGAAATGTCCCCTAAAATTTCGGGACCGAAATTTTTTCAAGATTTTAAAAATTATAATTTTTTATTAAGTGTTTTATATTTTAATAACTTGTATGAATAAGATTATTGAGTAAAAATAAGTAAAATAGTTAAATCATGTTAAAATTAATCTAAATATAACATTATTTTTATTAAAATATTGAACTAAAAATTGAAAATTAACTATTTGTTGAAAGATTATATTCTATTTAAATAGAATTAGAAAATAAATAAAGTTAGAAAAATAATATGTTTTATGCTGCATATGATAATGTTTTTATTAATAATTTTTAAAATTTTAGTTAAAAAATATTTTAAATTTTATAATTACTTGAATTATAACTTTAACTAAAATTAAGTAATAAAAATATGTATGCAAAAGCTTAAACATTAACTATTATTTAAAAAATTAATCATATTATAAGTAGAATATTATTTTAAAATAATAAAAATACTTAAAATATGTATATATTGTTTTTTTTATTAATTATTTTTATATTTTAAATAAAAAATTATTTTTTAAATTTTAGTTACAATTTAAGTGTTTATTAATTTAAAAAAATATTTTGTGAAATAATGGAATTTATTGGGAATATTTACCTATTTTACTGGGAATTTTCGGGATTTAATAAATTTTAGGGAATTTTTACATGACCCCAACTTTATTTTGGGTTTTTGAAAAAATTGCTTTTTAAAAATGCAATAACTATACCCATCTTATAAGGTCTAAAATAAAAAATCTTGATTAACCCTAATATATACTGTATATATTAAATATTTTGAGAATGTTAGGCAGCATTGCCTGTATGAACTTCTAATATATATATATATATATGCTTTATACTGAACTGGGTTTATCTTAGCCACACACACACACTTACTAATCTATTTCCACCCACTTTGTTACCCACTTTGTTACCCACTTTGTTACCCACTTTGTTACCCACTTTGTTACCCACTTTGTTAGCCACTTGGTCATTCATCCACCTACTCACCCAAATATTAATTAAGTTGATAAAAAGTAAAAATAGTCAGTTAATTTGACCATGTTCATTAAAAGATACATAAAGTGATTAATTGCAAAGTTGTATATAATTTTGTAATTAATTATTTTTGATTTAATTGTAAGATTGACAAAATAATTGCAATTATCTGGTCAATCATACAATTAAATCAAAAATAATTAATTACAAAATTGTATACAGCTTTGCAATTAATCACTTGATGTATATTTTAATGAACATGGTCAAATTAACTGACTATTTTTACAGTACCGTATATTGAGTATAAAATTGTTTATAACTGTCATTTAGTAATTTTTATATTTAAAATATGATTTACTATTAATATATTCAAAATAAATCATTAGTCGGGAGTCTGATATTAAGTCAATGCCTAAAAAATATCTTTATATGTAAACTAAGTTTCAAATAATTTGTTGTAAAAAGAGATGAAATAGTGATATAATATGATATACTAAAGTTATTTTAATAACAATATTAGAATTGTATAAATGAAAGTTAGATAAGTTAATGATAAAACTTTTATTAAGTAATAATAACAAAATTTCGATGAGAAACCAATTGATTTTTTATAAATATTGGAAAATAAAGCGATAATATAATATAATCAAATAATATGTTTATTATTTCCATATAAAGATTTAAATGAACTTTTTATGTGAACTGTTTCCTATCAGACAAATGTTTTGTGTCTAAAAAAAGTTAACAGAAATTAACCACACTTTCTAAAAAAAAAACATTTTCCACATTTGCACAACAATTGGTTAGTATTCAAAAAAAAACATTTTATATGATATTACAGTCAATTTGTTATATAATTTATAGATATTTCTATATCATTCTCAATGATTCATTCAAAAGTCTATAATAATGCGGTCATTAAAAATAATATTCTTATTTTAAAAAGCAATTATTCACTAAATTATATCATTAGCACTAATATTGATATATACCGTATTTTTTTAATTTTAATTTTTTAATTTTTGCTAACTTAAAGATTGTTGAGCAATACCTTAAAAACTATATTAACAAAATTTTGGCAACGAATTCAAAATAGGATTAACAGACAAACAAATATTTTCAGATTGTTTTGTAGAACTTCATAATATACGGATTAATTTACTAATACAGAGTGCGAAACATAAACACACAAAAAGTAAGTATTATTTAAATTTAAATTTTTAATAATAATTAGTTATTTTTAATATAAATTAATATATTATCAATATTTTTTATTTATTGATTTTATTAGTTAAAAAATTTATTTAAAATACTTTATAGCACCGTAAGTAATTTTATCCATTTTATATATGAGATATAAAAGTTAGTTGATTTTAAATAAAATATAGCATTAATTCATATTCATAAATTAAGTATTCTTGTTTTATGTTTTTAAAATTATAAAAATAAAATATGAACTAAAAAATTATAAACATTAATTAAAATATACAACTATTTATTAATTTTATTAATTATATTATTAATTATATTATTTTATTTGAACTAACATATTATATAAATATATAAAACATAAAATATGCAGTACAGTAAGTCACATAACTTATTTATATGATATTATATTAATTATAAATAAACCTTAATTTATATATATATTTATATTTTACTAATTAGTAAATTATTAATAGAGACATTTAAACTATTAATATACAGTAAATATAAAAGTATAATTGTATTACAAATATAATTAAATGTATTTATTCATTAGTAAAAGTTAATTGTTATTAATAAATGATGATATTTACATGTGTATATAGAGCATAGGAAAAATATATGTAAAATAACTTTTTAATATTTCGTTATAACTTTGATTTCGTTAATAAAATATAAATGTACTTTTAAAATAATTTTTCATATTTATTAATTTATAAATTGTTTTATTAAATAATTTTTATAGCTTCCTTTAATATTATGACAGAGAAATTTCCTTAAAAATTATTATACATTAGATTTCTTTAAAATTTCTAGTTTGCTAAAACATAATACTAAAATATATTTTATTTTACATACAAAATTTAATTAACAATAATACAGTTTATGATAACTAATATACTGTATGTATGTATATATATATATATATTTCTATATGTTAGTTGAAATAAATTAAAAATATTAAATTCAAGTTAAAAATAATTAAAAAGAAATATACTGTATATCTAATTGTAAAACTTTTAATTAATGATCGATTTTTTTTATTTTCAAGAATTTTCGAAAGTTTTATTTATAACAAAATTCTGAACTAAAGCCAAATTGTAGACAAGTTTTGCTCCACTTTTAGTTAGATTTGTCTGCTATGACACCAATCAACTCATCAAATAACAACAAATTTCACGATTTACTAATAATATAGTAGTTTAATGGTTAACACATATTCTTATAATTGATTTATAAACTATAGTCACTTTGATTATGAAATTATTATTTATCTAAATACTGTTAAAATAGTTATCTTATATTATTTATGTTAATATTAATTTAAAAATAATATATAAATTGCACTTAAAGTAAAACTAATAGACACTACTTATAATTAACTTTAGTTGTTAGAAATCTCATATGTATAAACTAGAAATTATAATATTAATATAAGTATAAGTATATGACAAACAAAAATATATTACTGTAAATATATAATGAGATAGCACATATTATTGTATTATATAAAACTATAAGTTTAATTATATTAATGATTTATTCAATTATGCAATTATTTTACAGTAATGTCAAGCATTTTCATTACTGATTTTATCAAATATTGACTTCAATATAGTGTTGGCAAAAAAGAGAAATTTATAAAATAATAGAGAAATTTCTAGAAAGTTTCTAAAATAAATTTCTGTTTATGTGATCCCCATGGTTAATTTTGTTCTCTCGATATTTGTTATCTTTAACATTGTTTAACATATTTAAATATTATTATTAGTATTTTAATTATTAATTAAAGTAAAAAAATAATTTATTTAATTATATTAAACTATGATATAATAAAATGATGAATAAACTTTTACAAAACTGATTATTATTAAATAATTATAATTATTTATATAGGTATCCCATTTCTATAATAATGTTATACAGAAATCAACATTATATAGTATAATATTATATGTATAGTATTATGTCTTATTAATATATTTATAGTATTATAATAGATATGGGGATCCCATTGTATAACAGTAAAGTTAAATTTCTATAGAAATTTATTCCTGAGAAATTTATTTAAACTTTCTAGAAACTTTCTCAGTGAAATTTATTAGAAACTTTCTATTTGCCCATCTCTAGTTCAATAACTTATAGATAAAATATTAGTAATTTTATTGATATTTTCCAGAATCAAAATTATATTTACAATATTTTTTCGCAAACCATTTATCCTGAAACTCTTATAATCAATAATAATCAATAATAACCTATAAATATCATATTATTGTGGATTATAAAAATTAATTTCAATAAAAAAATTAGAAACAAATATTAATATTTGTCTGGTCATTATTGTTACAAATGTTTTATTTTAATTTTCATAATATCTAAAAATGCATAATAATTATTGAACTATTGAATATTAATTATTTGACTAGATGATTTTTTCAAATTTCATCTCTTTAATTCATAAAATAATTTTTAATTTAGAGACATATTTCTAAATAAAAATAGTATTTATGAGACAATATTTAAGAACAAGAAATTGTCTTAAATGAAAATCAATACATTTGTTATTATATTATCAAAACTCTAATATTAATATATAATATATTGTATATATCACACAAACTCAGTTATATAGTAATTAACTATAAATAAGATCTAAATTTAAATAATTATAAATGCCATAAACATATACTATAAAAATATAGAAAAGTTATTTATAAGATGTTACACTATAATTATAGTTAAATTATGTAATAAAATAATAAATATTGTAATTTTGAAATAAAATCTTTATTTTATTTGTTTTCTAACAAAAAGATGTCTGAAAATCGGGTGCTTTTGGGGGGTTTGAAGACCAAAAATATTGTAATCAGAGAATTCTTATCTGAATTCATCGGGACTTTAATTTTAGTCGTAAGTATTAAAATTGCAAACAATTTATTTAAATATTTTTTATTTAAAACATATAAAACATTTTTGATTCAAACCATAGTTGATGTGCAACTGTTCAATTGCGGTCCAAGTGCTCAGTCGGAGACCACATCTTGATTTAGTAAACATATTAATATTAAATAATTTAATTTCACATTCAATACTAAAAATTATTTATTTTTATTTATAGAATTCAGTGGGAATTGCCACAGGAGTGGGTCTTATGATTGCAGCCTATTTAGGAGCAAAAGTTTCCGGTTATTTATTATATAAAACATATCGTCTAATAGTATAATAACTTTTATTTTTTTATTAGGTGGACATGTGAATCCTGTGGTCACTTTAGGTATTTTGTAGTTATATCAATATAACAATAAATTTTGATAATTATTTAATTTGTATAACAAGCGGTGGCAACATTGGGAAAGTTTCCTTATAGGTAAACATAAAATATGAAACACATTAAAAAATACATTTCATCTTTTGATTTATTTGTAAATAATTTAGAAAAATTCCCCATTATTTCATAGCACAATATTTAGGAGGTTTTGTCGCTTCAATATTAGGTATTTTTATTGTCAATAATTTGTAAACAATATTAATATATATATACTATATATATATTATCCAATACTGTAGTGTATCTCAACTTTTATTCTGCTATTAATGAATACGATGGGGGAATACGTTCAGCATTTTTCAATAGCACCAGTACTGCAGGTATGCATACATTTTATAAGATATTTAACAGATATATAACTGTAACTCATCTTTTGATATTTTTTAATAATAATAATAATAATAGGTATTATGACAACACATCCAACATTAAATTTGACGCCATGGGGTGCTTTGTGTGATCAAGTAATTGAAATATAAATAAATTTATAACTTATAAATATTTAGTTAAAATAAAAACAAAAATAATTGCAATTAAACAAATAGATAATATCAGTGGCTTTACTTCAATTTGGGATTATGTGTCTAATTGATCCCAAGAACCAGAACGTACCAAAACCATTGATCCCAATAGCTTTCTCACTATTATTAGCGGCACTTATTATGGCATTTGGCCATAACTGTGGACCTGCACTGAATCCCGCCCGTGACATACCCGGCCGTATATTTGCTATTATTATTGGCTATGGTTCAGATGTATGGGGCCCTCAAAGTTTCGTTTATTGGATTATTGGAGGATTAATTGGTTTGCCATTAGATGATTAAATTATAATTATTTATTACTTATTTTATATAACTATAATTAGGACCACATATCGGTGCTATAATCGGTGCCTGGATTTACTATCTTCTAATTGAATTACATTTGGAAGATGACCAACAATTAGGTAATATATATATATATATATTTAAAATTATTAATAATATTAATCTAATAATCATTTTGATATATTTAGAGAGAAAGGAAGACGTTTTGCTTCAAAAGATATCTGAAGCATAAAATGAAAAAATTAGAAAAACAATATTCAATAGTATCATAAAGTGGTAAATCATAACAAAATCAATTATAATTTAATATAATCACATATATTGTGATCTTAATATTAGTTTTGCCTTATTTGCTATTAATTAAATTTTTCTTAAAACAACGGTTTATTGATTATTATTAATAAAATTTTTTGTTTTAAATGAGTTATAACATTATTTATTTTTAATATTAAACATTAATTTATAAAATAATTCACTTATAATGTTAATATTTTTAAAATAACAATAATAATGTTTTGCAATAATTTACATTAAATACAAAATATTACAAATAAATCATTATTTGTTATTATAATAATTAGATACAATAGTAAAACAATCCACAATTGGATGCGAATTGAGATCAAATATTGTGACCAAATATTTATATAACATAAATATTATAAATTTATAAATAAATAAAACATATAATCACAACATATGTTTGTTATTGATTTAAATATCAATTATAAATTAAGTTTGATTTAAATCAATGATCTATTCATTTGTAGTCAATTCGGATGAGTTTATTGAACTTTGGGACCAATAATTGCGAAATAACTGTAAAATATCGGGAGGTTTGGTTACATTGAGACCGACGTCATCCCAACTTTCAAAGTCTTGCTCTTCATTTTCATCACAAAAAGTAATTGAAGTTAATTTGTAATTATGTTTCATTAGATATTCATTAACCAAATAATTTAAAACTCTGATCTCATATGGTTTGCCGGCACTCGAGTCAGTCGAGTCTATCATATAAGTGACAGGACATGAATTAAACATAAAAGGCGTAACAGATTTAGTTGTCTCTGGAGATGAATGAGTCACCGATTGTGATGAGTCTGATTGCTTTGCGGACGAAGAAACTGTAAGACTGGCTCGCAATGACTTAATTGTTTCGCGAGCCTTCCGTAACTCAAACTCGAGAACAGCTATTCTTTCATCCATTTGTCGCTCGCCATCATCTGAATTGCGAGTGAAGTCCAACGAATCAAATGTTTGCTCAGATGAAGTTCGTGGTAATGGACAGTGCAATACATCAAATGTCAATTCTTCGTCCGATTGTTTTTCAAAATTTGTCGGATTTGAGAAAAAATCGCGAAGTCGTGGCAACTCTTTGCCATTTTCGAGGAGTTCCGCATGAAATTCAAGTGCTGTTAACAAAAATCCTTCTTTAATTAGTTTGTGAGCTATTTTATCAAATGAGACGATGTCTACACTTAAGATGGAGTTTGGATCCACTTCTGTCATCATTTAATAGTCGTTATAATTATCAGTCAGTACTTCAAAACATATGATTGCAATGTTTTCTAACACTTCAAGTGTGCGACCTATCGATCAATTTATCAGTTTTCTTACTCATCTCTGTTTAAAAAAACATAACAATATATATATATTATTTGATTTAATAATATATTTATATTATATTATATTAATTAATTTATAAATTGTTTTTAAAGATTAATTTATGATTATATGTTTAAATTCAACTCTGGTTTATGTCACTAATGTTATCTAATTCAAGGATTCATATTACAAGACTTGTAATACAATCTAATGTATATTAAAGTAATTTTTTGCTTTTTATAATTTCATATCATAATACATATCATAGAATTATATTTAAATATTAATACATAATTTTTAACTAAATTTTTACAATTAAACTACTTTTAAATCTATTTTATTCAGATATGAATCTTAAGTCATCTAAACCGCAAATCGGAGTCATTGGTGGCGGTGTTGTCGGTCTATCGACGGCTTTATATATTCAGCAAACTATACCATCTGTAGAAATCACTGTAATTGCCGATAAATTTCTTAATGAAACACTTAGTTATGGAGCGGGAGGTCTATTCAGACCGGAAGTTAATATCGGAACATCAAAAGAGATAGCCGAGGATTGGGCCACAACAAGCTATAATCACTATCTTAAGCTATGTATGTCAAGTGATGCAAATGCAAGTGGTATGCAATTGGTATCGGGTTATCATATGAACTCCTATTCCCAGGAAAGTCTCAATAATGGTTTGTTGGCTAAACTATTGCCTGATATTCGAGACTTTAATGATAACGTAAGAAATTTATTCCCAAAACGTTTCAAATATGGTGTGACATATACGACAATAATAACTGATCCCCGATATTATTTGCCGTATTTAACTAATAAACTGATCCAAAATAATGTCCGATTTATTAATAGACATATCGATAATTTGTTTCAAATTGCTGACAATTATGACATTGTTGTCAACTGTAGTGGTCTTAATTCAAAAAAATTAGTCAACGACTGGAAGCTAACCCCAGTTAGAGGACAAACAATTAAAGTGAAGGCGCCGTGGATTAAACACTTTTATTTTGCTGATGAATCTTATGTTATTCCCGGTCGGGATTACGTAACATTAGGTGGTATTAAACAATATGGTAACTCTGACCTAAACGTCAACTATTTGGATAGAGAGTCTATTTGGCAGCGCTGTACTCAAGTAGTGCCAAGTCTTCAAAATGCAGAAATAGTTATGGATTGGGTCGGACTTAGACCACAGAGACAACCCATTAGAATAGAGGCGGAAATTATGACCGATAGTGATCACAATCATATGAAAAATAATCTTAAAGTAATCCATAACTATGGACATGGAGGTCATGGTATAACATATTCTTGGGGAACAGCAAAACATGCCACACATTTGGTCCAACAAATGCTGTCAACAAATATGTCTCCTAAACTATAAGTAATTGAATGACATATTAAATAAGATTGATATTGAATTAAGTGTACTAATCAATCATTATCAATGTTTTGCATAATTTGTATTCAAGTTTTTAATAAAAATATAGATTATATTCAATTTATTGTTTACTTCCAACCAAACCAACACATTAATGTCAAACAAATATTAATCCAAAGTTCATAAGTTATTTTTGTCAAAATATCATTAATTAATAATCTCAATATTAATAAAGTAATATAAATTAGTTTCAACTGGTTTAACAATAGTGTGGTCACTGATTTGATTATATGTATTGATATATGTTATGATAAGACATTTGAAAACATTTATAAATTATAAATAAATCCATACTATACAGTATATTAGAAAATAATATTCATTTTATCATAATAATTAAAATTATGAAAATACAAAAGTATTATTGAGTATACCAATTTATTATCAATATAATCATTTAAATATTTATAATTAAAGTCATTTATTGTAAATAAATACTAAAGTATTATACAATTAAACAAAATTAATTTGAATTTATATATATATATTGTAATAATCATTGAAGTTTAAATTTCAACAATTTAAAAAACCCAAATAAGAAATCTATATAAAATATAATAGATTTTTAAGAATTTATAATTTTATATGAAATTCTAAATAATTAAATATAAAAAGCTAACAATAATTATTTGGCACAAAAATATGCAATGAAAACATTTATATAATTAAAATATATTATTATTATTATTTCTGTATTTAATTATTTGAATCTTAAAGAACATGTTTTTGTATAATAGGAAGACTTTGTTCAATGAATTTGTGAACTAAAATAGTTTGAGAATTGGATTCACTGAGAGTTTTGCAAATCAAAGCAATTTTGATAAATTGTGTCAAATCATTGATTTCTAGACTTTTAAAAAGACATTCAATGTCTTCAGCCAATTGTCGCTTCTTTTCAGACGGCATTTCATTGAGTATTTGTCCGATCGGTTTAAATGAACCATTAGCTATAAATGCGGCTAAAAGACCGCCAGCAGTGCCACCAATTGCCAGTCCAACGGGTCCAACAAGTGTGGCGCCAATAAATGAAGAAACACCTGTAATAACCGCACCTTTCAATGACTGTCTAACCGACACCTGAACCTCATAGTCACCCATGACATCGATTATCACTTTTATTATAGTGTTTGTATCGATTGTCATATTTGACTGATTTATAGATCAATACAATAACAAATACAAAATAATTAATGTTTTTAATTTAATTACATATTTACTTTAAACCACTTAAAACATTGGTTGCGTTGCTTATACTTTAGATAAAGTATCTAACAATTTACTAAATCAATGTACAGTTTTATATCTAATTATATAAATATTTATATCAATTTTAAGACAAGATTATAAAAAAATTAATTATAGTTCATATAATTTCGCTAAGAAGTGATTGTAAATAAAATTTAATTTATTGTATAGTATTGTCAAACTTTAAATTTTTAAAAATCAAACAATTTGAATCACTTTTTTATATAAATAGATAGCAATGAAATAATTATATTTACATCAAATAAGTATTATTTATACCGAAAGCAAAACCTAAATGTATTAATAGTTTGGACACACATCGAGTGATGCAATCATTGCTGACTATATATGATATATAGAGGACGTCATCATCACATCAAAAGCCATCACTTGTTTTATACGTTTCTACTAAACATTATATACACATAAATTTATATACGTTTGCCATACATAGCACTGTATTATACACTGTACTACAGTATATATATATCAATATATTGTTTATATACTCATTATATAAGACAACTCCTACTTTAATTTAAAGCCCTAACAACACAATTGTCAGCTAAAAGTAAGTATAATTTGGTTATAATTTTTATGAAATCTATTTAATTTCATAAAATAAAGGAAACGCCTTTTAAGCAATAGATTAGACAATAAAATCATAATCAGTGTATACTATAGACTATAGTACTGTATTATATTGTTAATACTGGACATACAACTGGTGTACAGCTGTTATAGTGTTGGTTACTAGGGTTGGGTAGTAGTAGTAGTAATAATAGTATTATTTATAATAAAGAGTATGTATTGAATAGATGACAGTCTCTCTGAGTTTGTGCTCTTTTATGAAATGAACGCTAAACTGGTTTTCAGTTTTAGTAGTGTTTGACATTTGCTTTGCCTTAAGTACAGCTGATTTTGTTAGTGAAGGTCAACAAAACAGTTAATTGTTTTGACAATTATTTTTAATTCAATATCATCTCAATTGACTATATATACGCAGTATATGTTGTACAGTATGTCTTCAAATATAATAATCATTCATTTTTAACACAATTTATTATATATTTATTTATTTTTTTAGGTTAACTCCAAACGTATTATCAATAGTAATATATTCATACTATTCATAACATTATAACAATTATAGTAAAAAACTTAACATTAATTATTACATTTGCATCAACTGTCCATTCATTTGACTCAAATCCCATTCAACACTTAAGTCTAAACTAAAAGTCTTGAAAAGCCATCAAATTATGTTTCGATTTGCAAATTATGTCTTCAGAGGTGATGTCGACTCCAATGACAATGGAAACGATGAAAATATTGATCTAAACGAGAGTCCAGTCGATGACGATTGGATACTTATTGATGTACCATTTAATGGTCACGAAGACAACTTCAAGACTGCAAACCAATTGCAAACAATTGCTGCCAATTATGAGACAACGAATACTTCAGTGCCTCAAACTGTGGACAACAACACTTGTAACGCACAAACACCACAATTAATTGATAGTCCGGCACCCATTGGGAGTCATAATATGGACGAGAGTTGGTTTATTACACCCCCGCCCTGTTTCAACAGTCTCTGCAATACTGTTATTGTTGAGACGACACCGTTGGAGAACCTGCTGATAGAGCACCCGAGTATCAGTGTGTTTGGACCCTCACTGCCGCCCATTGATCACAGATCACTCCATTCTGACCAAACATTACCACACACTTCATCAACACCTTCAACAGTCATGTCTTCCAATGACTCAAATCTTGTGACACAAATTCAGTCACGAAGACAATTGAGACAATTAAGACGTCAACAACAACAGCACCTACAGAGCAGAAACACTAACCAAAATACGGTTAACTCATTCCTAAGAACAGGTAGACATATATTAATAACATTTATTTGATAAATATATTTAATTATTTAAAATATAATAATAGGTATATTGGATGAGTTGAACGTATTGTCTACAATGCAAAGACAGGAAGTGACACAAATGCGAAAGTCATTGACCAAAGCAAATATGGATCGACAGAATAAAGTGTTGTCCCTCACAAACAACAGACCCGACACTAAACGATCAAAAATGTCGGTCAGACCTAACGGTATTTATAATAACAGAAAACATTGCTGACCATCACATAACAGTAATGTCAATACAATTATTAGTTAATTGTATTTTATAAGCATAACACACATATTTCACACTATGTCTCAGCTTTTAAAAAACATATATTTATTTGAAACCCTTAGAATTTAACTCATTATATTATTAATGTTGATTTTAATTAATATTCAATATATTAAGTTAAACATTTTTCAATTGATCACATATTAATCAATTGATTATTATTATTTATATGTAAACACTAAACATGAATATATGAATCCCTAATTTATTTGAAGCACATATAAGTAATTCGCTTACTGTATAAAAAAATGAATGTTTTATGCAATTCATTAACATTTAAATGACATATTGCTATAAATCTAGGAAATAACATAAAACTATTTACTAATAACTTTATCATATAAACTATTGGTTGTTAAATACCAATACTAATTGTTAGCAAAATTTCTTATTTAATAATATATATAAATTATATATAATACAATATATGGTAGTTAAATATATTAATATTATAATATAAGCTAAAAATGAGTAATATAAGTAATATTTATAGATTTTTGAAAAAATAAATCAAATATTATTAGTGTAGATGTTATTTCCTAGTCGATGGTCTGATCTCATAGTCAGTAATACTATTACTGTATTCAAAATCAATTTTAATAAATTTTTATTCAATGTTTTATAAATACTGTAGAATTAAAGACAAACATTAATTAAATGCAATATTTCATAACAATTTTTTTAACAAACAGTTTCTATCATTTTCAACAAATATTATTGATTTTAATTGAGATGAGCTCTTATTTGATTAAACCTATTCTATATCTACCTAACTATGAAAAAATAAATTAAATTGACTATAAAATAGACAAAATGAGCCAATACTTGACAATTTTAACTAAAGTCTATATAAAACATGATATTACTTGAAATGCAATAAAAAAGGTTGATTTCATAATATATATAAACTTAATATAATATTTGACGAATCATTAGTTTCAATCTGTGATCTCTCTCTCAATGTTTCATTAAATTAATATAACTCTCTGTATATTTGTTTTTAAATTTGTTTGTCTAATATATTTAATAATTAATTTATTATTTAATTTAACTACTATATTATTAAATTATATCAAAATCATAATATATTTTGAGTTGAGGCAACTTAAAAAAAAGTAATTGCAATATTTGCTAAACTAGTTGTTATCTTAAGTTTACATATGATTATAGACTATAAGTCTAATATAATAGTGAAATATGACATCAAATGATAAAAATAGTGTGACTTTCATGAGTTAAGCGAATGTTAAGTCCAAATGCCTTCAATTTATAAATATTTTCACTAAACATATGCTAAACGTATTCAATGATATACGATATAAAAACTCAATATTAGGGGTGAGTTGTCATCAAACAATTACTTTGAAACTAATAACAACTAACAACTTGTCCTCAATTCATATCAATAATTAATAAACTTATCTCTCATTTATACATATTTCCCGTCCAAAGACTCGTAAAGCATTTAATTATTATAATTGTAAAATAATTTAATTATTCAATTAAAATATGTATCATATTTGAAAGCCTTTCAAAGTACAACTCTCTTAATATAATAAATTTAATCATTATTACTAATTTAACTTTCAATTTAATATATTATTAATGTGTTGTAAACCTCTTTTATAACATTAAAAATGCACAAAAATATATATGTAAATAATAATTATTAATTAAACATATTATCTGTGGGTTTGAGTGTTAATTAGGATGAATGGATACACGTATATAAACAATATATTACATGTAACACAAGTTTATTATTATAAACTCATTTAGGAAATAAATATAATAAAATTTAATCTATTTGTAAAAATATAAGCATAAAATAATTGAAAAAAATGTAAAAATTGTGTGAATGTGCTCTCATTATAATAAAGTAATGTCTGCTTCAAAAATAAAATCAATTGTTTTATTTTAATTTTATTTTTCCCCATAAAAAACAACTAATTTTAATTTAGTATATAAATTAATAGATAAACTAAATAAAAATATTTTTAAAGATATATCGTGAAAAATATCAACAATCATATGATTTATTTCATAAGTAATTCATATGATATACACAGACAGTAATCAGTGCTTTAAAAAATAATATACTTTTAATTATTCATATTTTTGAAACATGTTTTCAAATAAATGCCACATTTAGTACATCACTTGATTTTTTGTTAAAAACAACATATTTATTAATTACTTATTTATAACTTATGTTTATTTCTCATTATTTGTAATAATTTCAATCAATAAGCACCGATACATTTTTATAGCATACCAGTGCATCATTCAAAGTATAGTTTTGTTTACAAATCACTTTAAAGGACTTTTTTAAAAATAGATTACTTATTCAAACAGTAAATTAATTGATATAAATATATGACGATTGTATTTAAACATATGTAATGACCAGTGATTTTAGTACAAAAATTTCACTAAACTTTTGAAATAATAACTTTAAGACCCAATTGACGGCTAATTAAATACATGTTTGACGTAAACTCAATGTTTTTGTTTGCATTGCAATAATCAATGGATGCCTTCATTTAACGGCTCTTTCAGTAAATTATAGTAAATAACTGTTTATTATTATTATTACATCAAATAAATGTAGTATTAGTTATATTACAACTTATAATACAACTTAATAGTAATAAAAATTTTAAAAAAATATATAACTATTGACTAAATGTTAATTTAAGTTAAGAAATCAAAAGACATAAAATAATTGAAATAAATGACAAATTGATTGAAACATTCAATTAAACAAATTATATGTAATGTAAACACATTTTAATTGACAATTTGCCGGATAATTATGTTTACAATATTGTTGTCAAACAATTTCAAACAATACTTACATTTTGTGTTTGACTTCACTGTCTATGTCCTCATTGATGACAATCACTGTAAATGACAATACATTTCATTGATTTATATTTTAATTGTTTATATAATTATAATACTATTAAAGTAATGATTAACTCAAACGGCGTTTAATGTAATATTCAATGCTTTCAACGCACCTGACCTTCAATCACATGCATTCATAAACTACAGTACATTGTATTTGACAATTGATTCAATCAATGTTTGCCAATATTATTGTTAATTATCTAATTATTTAATTATCAATTCAATCATTTTAACTAAAAATAATAAATTCAATAATTTTGTTAATATTAAAAACAAATTTAAATTATATTTGAAATGCAATAATCAATAGTAATACTGTACTACAGGTATTGTATCACTAATTTTCAATATTTTATTGTCGCTTTCAGTACTATTTTAAAGCTAATTATTGCAAATATTTAACGCAGACATGTAGTAAAAGGTACTAAATTATCGATTGGACTAATTGCGGGAAATCAACAATAATAGTGTTGTAAATGTTGTGAAATATTCATTAAATAAATTAGTTTTTACTTAAAATCATAATTAGAGTCAATTAAATCAATTTGTGTCCACCGATGGGTATATTAAACCTCTCGCGACTGATCGCCGATATGGCGCCCGAATCTATCCGTGAAGTAGAATTGAAGTCACTGTTTGGTCGCCGTGTGGCCATCGATGCATCGATGAGTATCTATCAGTTCTTGATTGCCATCAGAAATAAGGAGCAATTGATGACCAACGACTCGGGAGAGACAACCAGTCACTTAATCGGTCTCTTTTACCGAACCATCAAACTATTGGAAATGGGAATTAAGCCAATCTATGTATTTGACGGAAAGGCACCGCTACTGAAAAGCGGAGAACTGACCAAAAGAGCCGAACGACGCAAAGAGGCTGAGAATAAGTTGGCCGAAGCCGTAGAGGAACAGGATTTAGAAAATATTACTAAATTTAACAAACGAGTCGTTCGCGTCACTCGTCAACACAATAGTGACTGCAAAAAATTGCTTCAATTGATGGGACTTCCAGTGATTGAAGCTCCGTCTGAGGCCGAGGCCCAGTGCGCACAGCTATGCAAAGAAGGTCTGGTATACGCCACGGCCACAGAGGATATGGACGGTCTTACGTTTGGTTCTCCGAGACTTATTCGTAATCTTACTTCAAGTAATAACGAAAAGGTTAAAGAATATTATTTGGACAAAGTCTTGGCCGGACTCGGACTTACTCGCGACCAGTTCATCGATTTAGGAATTCTTATGGGATGTGATTATTGTGATAGTATTAAAGGAGTCGGTGGTAAAAAAGGTCTAGATTTGATGAAACAGTACGGATCTATTGAAGAGATTCTGGAGAAAAAATTTGGGATAACAGAGTTCATTGATGTCGACATTGATTATGGAGAACGTAAGGTCATCGATGAAGTTGTCGACAGTGGGATTGTTGTCGACGATAATGACAATCAAAACAATGTTACTAATAATGGAGATGACTTTGAAATTAAAAGTGAAGAAAAAGATGGCAAACAAAATGAAACCAATATTTCAGATGATGGCAAACAAGACCACGAAGAAAATGACGAAGATGTAAATGTCAATCAAGAAGAAAATGAATGTTCACAAGAACTGAATGATTCTGATATTAATAATGAGTTTCAAAGTAGTGATGAAACCAATTGTGAAGTGAAGAATAAGAAAAATAAATCAAAAGATAAGAAGAATCCAATTCCTGAGAATTGGCTCTTTAGAGGCGCGAGAAAATTGTTTAATGAGCCAAATGTGTTGAAAGGAACCATTAATGAGACTGATCTCAAACAGAAAGAATTCGATGAAGAAGCTCTCATTCAGTTCTTATGTGTTGAGAATGGTTTTGCTGAAGACAGGGTTAAGAATGGTTTAAAACGAATCACAGAATCGAAAGCGAAAAGTTCTCAAACGAGAATCGATAGCTTCTTTAAGATGATTCCCACCACTAATAGCACACAAAAAGCTAAGGTTGAGACCAAAAACAAGAGAAGTGCTCCACAAGGGAAGGGAACCTTCAAAAGAGGTCGTCGATGAATGTAATGATTGTTTCGTATTTCAATTCATTTATTGTCAGTTTATACATCACTTTTGACACATTTCAATAAAAACCAATTGTTTGTAACTCTGTATTAAATAAAAAAAATATTCATTTACTAATACAACAGTTAATATAATACATATAAATTTATACCAAACTATACTATACTGTATATACAACAGTATATATAGTAATTTATAATAATTCTTTGATAAAATTTATAAACTAAACAAATTGTTTAAAATCTGTATAAAAATATAACAATTATTAAATTAATTGTAAACTCAATGTTTTTTTAAATATGATTGTAGACAACCCCAAGCCCTCTTCACCTGATCCATAGTTATAGACTGATCCCAAAGCGTACAAAATACAACATTAGCTCTTTGGACACGATCTTCATTAGTCATCTGAGATTCAATACGACTTACAGCCTCTTCCTGAGTCAATTGATTGCGTTCTTGTAGTCGAGTGATGGCTTCATTTTCATCGATCAATGTCACCCATATTTGATGAACTTTGTGATCCCATTTAGCTTCTAATAGTAAAGCAATTTCAAGAACTATTACTTGATATTTATCTTTCATTTCATTGATTTTGTCCAGAATTAATACTTCCAGTTTCGGCCAAATAATATTATTCAAAACTTTGAGCTTATCTTTGTCTGTAAACACAATATTTCCTAATTTTTTTCTATCAATAGTTGAATCGTCAATCAATATGTGTTTACCAAAGTGTTGGACAATTTCTTTGAACGCCTCGGATTCAGGCGATTCGTATGTTTTATGAGCCATAAGATCACAGTTGATAACACCTGCTCCAAGACTTTTAAGTTTGTCAGCAATTGAAGATTTACCACTCGCTATACCACCCGTAAGACCTATAATGTACGGCCGTTTCGGCAAATTTTTTACTTCTGGTTCTCTTAAAATGGTTCCCAATTTTCTCATTCTTAATGATGAAGAGCTTATCTTTTGCTCTTCGAAAGTGTTTTGTTTATTAAAGTCATCCAATAAATCAATTTTAAAGATATCTAATGCCTTCATATCATTTTTAATCCTAATCTCATTGATCTTCTCTCCTCCTCTAACTGTCTCATGACTGACAACAATGGATTCAAGACTGGGATCGACAATAGCTGGTCCAAAAGGATCACTGATTGGCACAATATTATACTTAATAAATGGATCGACATCAGTGACAAATTTTCTTAGCTCTTCGATACGCTTTTCCATAGGAAGTATTAATTGCCATAACTTCTTATTTTTAATCATTGACTTATCGGTGACACCAATAGTTACAGTTTGATTGCAGTGAAGTTGAGCTGAACTAATGAGCACTTTATGGCCGTTATGAAGACCATCGAAAGTTCCGCCTAAGCAAACATTATCATACACTTTGACATTATCTCCATTTATATCATCAGTGGTTTGCAAATCATTTGCATTTTCAGGAATACATTGTATTTGTTGTATATTTAGCGCAAACTCTTTGATTAAGTAATTTCGTACTAACTCTTCATTATAATTGCCACCATTGATAAGCACAACCTGTGGAGTGAATTGAAGAGATCGCTGTAATGTTACCGAAGAATGTGTTGTATATCTTTGATTTCGATGATAATGTGAGTGATGGACAACTCGAATGTCAAGAAGTGGTGCACTTCGGTTCGCTTCGGCGTATATTTGCGGTAAAAATTTGCGCAATTGATTAACAAAGATATCGTTTTTGTGACAATTAGAGGTGACAGTAGTCGATGAAGACAATAAATTTGGATCAATTGATATATACAGTGTATTAGATATCGTTTGTTTGGCGTGTCTTAAGTATGCACTCAATCGACTTAATTGAGGAACAGCTGACAATAACATGAGACCAGATTTGAACATTTCGACCATTACTTGAGTGACCAATTGAGGTGATAATTGTATTGATAAAATAAAACATTTAATCAAATGATTGATTCATATATTATCTTATATTTTGCGTTTGGGTTTTATTTTCAATGATATTCAATGTAAACATTTTGTTACTAATGTTATGCAAGACTACAGTACTGTGTAATGTGTTGTCGTTTACCTTAATATTAATATTAATATAAATTACTATATTATGTCATGTTTTTTATAATATTGTTTTTTACACAAATGTCTTATCATTACAGCTAAACATTGTATGGATTGTAGAACTTTGATGAATATATTTTTAATTTTATTAATTATTAAAATATATAAACACTTAGCTATGATTTTTTAAAATTTACATTCAAAGTATATGTGCTTAAACTTTACAAAAGTTATTTTAAATATCACTTTTAATAAACTGATCACAATATAATTCATATAATATAAATATATAATAAGTTAATTCCCAGTCTATCGAAATAACCGGTTATGACGGATAAAATGGGCAGAATTAGTGACCAAATGACTAAATAGTAGGGGTTTGACACTAACATTGAGAATCAATTGAAATAATATCCGGGTATTAAAATAGTATCCTATAAATAGGTAGCCGTAAAGTCACACAAATATACAAATACAGTATATTATTACTTTTAAGTACTGTATATATTATATACTATTCTATACTAATGTATATAAAGTAAAATGTTTTAACAAAAAAATGTTTCGAAATTTTTCGCACATTTTGTAATATTAAAATTTAGTTTTAAAAATGTATTATTCTAATGTCTATCTAAAAAAATATATTATAGAATAACACGCGTTTACTTTTGGAAACCTCTAAAATAAACAGGGTAACATAATACAGGTATTAAATCATAAATTATAAACATAATACAGTATTAAGATATTATTTTATCAATAGGTTATATCAATATATTTTACTTAAACTTGTTTCCTATAAAAAGTTTTTACTGTATTTACTTACAGTACTCTATATAATTAGATACAAAAGTAGTTTAAAACATTTATTATTATTTGAATCATACATTAGTTGTAAATTACTTTATATTTATATAATACTGTATAATATTATAATTCGGAAACTTTTTAATTGTTTTACAAATCGATTCTCAAAATATTCCTGTTTTAAAAATTTAATTAATCACACAATTTGTGAGATAGTGACCACAAATGTGATAATTGATACCATGTTTAATGCCATAGAAATTAATTTTAAACTACTTTTATAATGCGTTTTATAGATATAATCATTTAAATACTACAGTACAAATTTAATGGTAATTTAGCTTATCATTTAATAAAAATATTATTGTTAAATTTCTTAAAATCAATTAAATTATTATATAAGTTAAATGTTTAAAGTAAATCAATTTAGTATTGTACCCTGACTATATTATTAGATTGATTAGGAGGAGTCAAATTAAGTTTGGATAATAGAGTCAATTGCCTGTAAACTTTATAAGACAATTATAAACAATTATTGAGTGATTACAGTATATCATAAAAAATAATTATAAATAATTGTTAACAAAGTATAGGATGAATACTAGGGAAAGCTATCTCCAACTGGCAGAGCATTGAATTTATTAACAAAAAACAATTTACGGCTCAGTAATAATCAAAATAATAGTCTAGATTTAGAGCATATATAAAAGCAGCCAATTTATTGATAAACTTAAATATTATATATACTATATATCAGTTAATGTATTAAATTTGTTGTTTTATTACAATTGTTTATAAGCGTTAATATGCTTTTAAAAACTATTTTTCAGGTATAAGTGTCAAAAATAAATTTACCCAAATGTTGCTAATAATTTTCTGTATATATTCAATAGTTTGTTTTAGCAGTTTTAATATTATCAATTTGCAAAATGACAAGTGCTGGTCATGGAGGGCATGTCAATGTAAAGGTATACAGAGGACCGGGAGGTCATGGACACCATAAGTTCGCTCCGTGGGGTTATTACGCACACTTACCACCTGATGATCACAAACATGGATATCATGGATAACTACTTTATAATTTCTTGAAAATAATTCAAAAGTCAGTGATATGTTGTATTTTAACAAATTTAATGTCAAATAAAGTAAATATTAAAAAATTATTAAAAATTGATTTTATACTAATTATAAATATGTATTATCTGCTATTTTCGTTGAAATTATTCAATTTGAAAAACCCATTATCCATTTAAATTAAGCTAATCTTTCTAATGAAATATATTTATATAATGTTAAACTTAAAACATAAATAATTCGTCAGTAATAACAAATAAGACAATTTAAGAGAATATATGTTAAAATAAAATTTTGAAAAATGTATATTTATAATAAACTAGCATAAAATCGATTACATATTTATAAGCTGTTTATAGCTACAGTATGTATATAATGGCCCCAAAATAGTCATTATAAGAATATATTGAAAAAATCATTGAAATAATAATTCATTAAAATATAACAAAAATTGAGAAAAATTTGGTTTACAGATCCGATAGTAGTATTGTTTTTTTTTTGTCATTACAATTATATTAATACTAAACATATATTTATTCTCTTAAATCACAGTATTTTAATTGGAATTGTTGTTTAAATATTTGCTGTTTTTTTAAAAATTATATATGATTTTAATGTATGTGTAATTATTATTGGTTGTAAATTCATTATAAAATCACCAGCAATAATTATATGTATAATATAATTGCATTAAATATACTGAACAATACTACTGTTGGGTCTGTAAACCAAATTTGATCCAAAATTATTAATTAGTATAAATAATAAGCAATAATAATAATTATAGGTGAGAGCTAAGAGTATAATATAATGTAAATAATGAGCTTTCATGATAATATCCAAATTAATTGTTAAACACTTGTATATAAATGCTGAACGATAATGAATGTATCAAATGAATGGATAACAAAAAACATTTAATTTTTGTTTTTGTCTGAATTTTTGTTTTTTAAATTAATTTGTGGTATAAATGATTAAAATTCTAACTAAATATCCATTTTTATGAAATAGATAGTCAATGCGCGGTCAGAATTGATATTCAGAGCCAACCATTTCTATAGCCCACCGAAATTTATCTCTTTGTGTTTTATTGTATATCTTATCGATGGAAACTTCATATTTTTTGCACCTATAGAAAAATGAGACATTATATTAGTAAAAATAAATATTTGGTATATAAGCCACTAATCACTCATACCAGGCGACACTGATTCTGGGATCCAAATAATTGAGTTTAGATGTTCCCAAAGCTATTTGTTTGTTCTCTTCTTTGTCAGTTCTCTGTACTTCTAATTTCTGGAGCTGATCCTCGAGTGTATCCAATCTTTTCTTGAGTTTTGCTTTAGTTCCAGAATCGCTACCTTTTTTAGCGTCTTTGTAAGCCTTTTTCGCTTCTTTTACTACTTTTTTCTTGTCTTTAATTTTCACTTCCAAATTCTCCATTTGTTTGTCAAACGTTTTGGGAACAGCTCTTTGATGGTTACAAAGGAGAGCAACAGCGCGATTAGCTCTATTATAGGCCAATATCTTTTCGGGAACACTCATATTTGCTTTTGTCAATTCATTTAACTGAGTTTGCAGTGTTTGCGATGCGTTATAAGTCCTGAATACTTTGGCAGTCAAGCCATCCATCAATGAATTCAAATAGCGATTGAGGTCAGCCGTATCTATTCGGTCAAAGAGGTCGTCGCCATCGTTCTTATTCTCCATAAAATGCTGCAAATTCTTAAAAACTCTTTTCTCGACTGACACAGAATTCTCATAACGAATACTATCTTTACCTAAGAAGTCAAAGTCAACCACATATTCCTTTCCATTTTTTTCTTTGTGAAGTTGGATGTGTTCGACACGAAGTGAACAACAGCCAACAGTATCTGCAGTCTCTCCTTCTTCTTTCTCATTACCAGCTCTTAAGGCTAACTTATCGATGAAATAAAGCGCAACAGCTCGCTGTCGTTTAACCATTTCTCTGGCTTTAAAATCGCAGCGATAGTCGTCTCTAATTTTGTTAATATATTTCTTCAGTTCTCTGGCCTTCTCATATTTCATCCAATCTTTCTGACTCTTCAATTTTGATGACGGGTTTAACATAATATACTTAACATTACCCATAATATTCTCAGTCCACGAGACGAGCCACGTAACGGTGTTATCGTGACGCACTTCTTTCCATTTGTGACCTTCGGGTGGTTTCGGAGCGTTTGCTTTCTTTCCAATATTGATAATGATTTCTTCAGGTCGGACCCGTTTCTTCAATCTACCCATCTTTGGATGCTCTCCTCGGCCCCTGAAAAGACCCGGCGGTTCTATTCTAAAATTGCCAATCTTTTGCTTGTGTCCATCAACAACACAATAACCATATTCTTCAATAAGTTTTTCATTTTGCTTTTTAATCTCTTGTTTTTCTTCTTTAGTTTTATTCTTCCGTCTCTCCGATTCTGTTTTAAAATGTTCGGCCAGTTCTTTGAAATTACATTTCTTTAAATCAGTAATAACTTCTTTCTCTTCTGCATTCATTGTCTTTCGCCAGTCTTTAAAGAAATTCTTATTAAAGACATCTTTGCCTACGTAGTCGTGTTCCAGCATTCGGGCATAAAAACCTGCCACTTCTTCAGCCGGTGGTTTCAGGCGCATAGCCTTTCCCTCGTAATAAAACTTAACACTTTTAGGAAGTGGTTCGTAATCGGGTGGAAACACTGGTCCTTTGTGTTCCAATGTTTTCCATTTAATGCCCTCTCCGTGACTCTCTTCCTCCCACCACTTCCATATGTGTTCTTCATTTTCTTCTTTTTTTACTCTTTTCTTAGGACTCTTTTCAGGACTCGAATTAATCTCTTTTTTAACCGTCTTTTTGCTTTTGGAATCACTCTTTTTGTCATTTTTACTACTCTTTGACTTTTTCTTGGATTCCTTGTAATCGTCGTCGTCGTCATCAGAATAGGACTTCTTTTTCTTAGTTTTCTTCGGTTTGTACTTTTCCTCCTCTTCTGAATCGTACTCCGATTCATAATCCGAGTCATTCTTCCGTTTCCTACCTTTTGTGTCTTTCGTTTTCTTCACTTTTGCTGTGCTTTTACTTGATTTCGACTTCTTTTCTTGTGGTGAATATTCGTCTTCCGAATCACTTTTCTCTTTCTTCACGTGTTTCGTCAACTTCTTTGACAACGGTTCGTCGTCGCTATCATCTCCAGCTTCTGAATCACTTCTCTCTCTTTTAATAGATTGAGAGCTGTAATCATTCTGACTTTGAGACTGGGATTCACTGTCATAATTGTTGCCATTGTTGTTGTTGTTATTGTTGTTGTTGTAGTTCTCATCGTCTGAATCACTGCCACTCTTGTTGTTGGAAGAGTTCAGTTTGTTATTCGATGATTTGTCGCCATCAGAGTCACTGTCGGAGTTGTTGTTTGCCTCACTATCACTATTGTCGTTGATATTGTTGTGATTGATATTTGAGTCACTATTGTATGAGTTGTCTTCACTTTTGACTGAACCTTCCGGTGACGAGGAGTTCGGCATTTCGTCACAATTAGTCAAATGATACAAACAGTCAGTTGTGACAAAATCGGCCTAAAAAGCGTTGGATTGAAACTTCACGCGAAAACTATTTAATATTATTATTAATTTCGTATAATATTAGCTAAAAAGCAATTATTAACATTGTTTTAGATATAAATGGTTAGACATTTAGATTACAATTGATTAAAATGTATGAATTGATTGAAAAAACGAAAAATGAGTGCAAATAATGTGATAAAAGACATGAAAAGCTTGGAGTCATTCACTCAGACATTAACTCCATATTCAAAGAGTAAAACAAATTAATTATACAAACCTTTAAATACAATATCAAAGCAAAGTATCAGTGATTTACAAGCAATGTCTTGACTGAAACAATGATTATGTCGATGGATGTGTTGGTCGTCTAAACTAATGTTGGATCAGTCACTCAACTCTTGTTATATATCTTTATGGTCTCAAAGCCGACAACAATGAAAGCCATGTCTCCTATGTCTCTAATAAACGCCTTTTCCCTAAATATCAGACAACCCTTTGCTTACATTCAGACAATGCCTGTAATGCTGTCATACATTCAAATTAGTGTCAATACAGACACTTAACTAATATATCAATTGATATCAACTCAATAACATTATAAACTACTTTAAATCATTTAATTGTCATTAAATTACATTCAAATTAATATATGTTTTACAGTAATAATTGCATTAACTTTTGGGGATATTTCCCAACAAATCTATTGATTAACACTTTTAGGGATTTTGTTGCAAACATTTGGTTTAACTGACTGTTGAAGCGCTTAGTTTGAAATCAAGTTATTTATATTTATTTCATATAATTATATATTTCTATTAATTATCATTATATGACATAATATACCACTAATTTATTTTGTTAATTATATTGACTTTTTAAAAAATTTAAAGTAATGTCTAAAAGTTGTATTGCAATTTGCAAACAATAGTCATAATAATCAGTAATCATATATTATAATACTGTATATAAAAATTGTAAAAAAATCTTTGAAACAATTTGAATAATATTTTCATATAAATTTATGATAATTAATAACTTCAAATTTATAGTCATCAAAATTTTATTATAATTTATGAATTTGTTTTATTTTTTTGTGCAAATAAATATAACCCAGAAATATATTTAGTTTAATAATTTTGTACAATATATTACATAATGTACCTTGATGATTATTATTGTTTTGTGTGTTAATAGTTTGATTTAACAATTTATTAACAATTTAGCCTATGGTTAGTCAAACAATTTATTCATAAAGTTTTATATTTGTTTGAATAAATAGTGTCTATTATATGATATTAATATAATTTTGTAGTAAACGTATGATATGTTTATTAATGTATATTATATTATCAATTGTCAGTTTTGGTCACATTTGTGGTTAAATTGTTAATCGTGTTAATAGTTGTAATCAATTGGTTATTATAATAGAAAATACATTATATTTTGATTATGTGGTCAATAATAACAAGTAAAGTAAAGTATTAGTCATTCTATTATATGACTACTTTGTGTGACAATTGAATGAATACATTGATGTGTGAGTGCGTCGACTCAGTTGTCAATAGTATATAGTGTTGTATTGTATTGAGTATTATATGTGTTGTATGTGTTATATGTGTTGTTGTGTGGCATTTGATGTCTCATATGGTATATCAAAGTGTCTACAAGTGTTGAGCGTTGACTGTACTATCAGTTCTCCACTCGATTGTATTGTTGGCGTCGATGTGAGTGAATGTTTGAGTAGTGTTTGTAGTATTGAATAGAATTGATGTGCCATTGAATGTGTGGATGGACTCCATCTTTACTTTGGATCAGTGATTGCCAATTGAGTGATACATAACTATATCTTCAAACACATTGAAAGTGATGTAATTATGACTGAATTTGATCCACTAATACATTGACCACAAAGACAATTGTCACTTATATACAAATGATTGACAATAGTTGTATTACCGGTGTTGACATACAATACAACACAACACAACCCAAACCCCAAACTATTGAGTTGTCAATCACTGAGTGATGTCTTGTCTTTTGATTCAATGGTTTCATTATAATTATATAACAAATGATTTGTTTTTATAGTAAAGACTAAAATCAATCATTGGTTTTACATCATCGGTGGCGAAGTATATAAAGAAGTCATTGTTTAATTCATTAATAGTTTTGAGGCGTTTGAATGTCAAAACCGATATCATAGCAGTCAGTGGTATATATTCGCGAGTCTTGTGGACCTCTTCTTCATCAGCAATGCCCTTACCATCGCGTTCACGAGTCTATGCAGATGTGAACTCTCACCGCTCGCGCGAGTACTGGGATTACGAGTCGCATGTCGTGGAGTGGGCCAATCAGGATGACTATCAATTGGTGAAGAAGTTGGGTCGCGGCAAGTACTCGGAAGTTTTTGAAGCCATCAATATCACCAACAATGAAAAATGTGTGGTAAAAATCCTTAAGGTTTGTTGTCATCATTTGTTTTAAATGTGAATTTGTAACTAAAATACCAATTGATTTGTTTATCATCTAAAGCCGGTCAAGAAGAAGAAGATTAAACGTGAAATAAAAATATTAGAGAACCTGAGGGGCGGACCAAATATTATTAATCTTCAAGCAGTGGTTAAAGATCAAGTGGTTTGTGTTTAACTTAAATTGTCTTAAGTATGTCTTAATATTGAAATGATGTCTATTGATAGTCACGAACTCCTGCGTTGATCTTCGAACACGTGAACAATACAGACTTCAAACAGTTGTATCAAACGTTAACGGATTACGATATTCGCTATTATTTGTATGAATTACTCAAAGCACTCGATTATAGCCATAGTATGGGAATAATGCACAGAGACGTCAAACCTCATAATGTTATGATAGATCATGAAAATAGAAAAGTTTGTTTTAAACTTAAAAACGTTTTATTATTATTATTAATAATCTATTATTTTGATTGTTTTACAGCTGAGACTTATAGATTGGGGTTTGGCTGAGTTCTATCATCCGGGACAAGAATATAATGTTCGGGTGGCCTCCAGATATTTCAAAGGTCCCGAACTACTTGTTGATTATCAGATGTATGACTACTCGCTAGACATGTGGTCATTAGGCTGTATGTTAGCCTCAATGATATTCCGAAAGGAGCCTTTCTTTCACGGACACGACAATTACGATCAACTCGTGAGAATTGCCAAAGTCTTGGGAACCGAAGACTTATATGAATATCTGAATAAATATCAAATAGAATTGGATCCCAGATTTGATGACATTCTTGGAAGGTATACATTATATCTTAGAATAATGTTATTAACTATATATTTATAGGCACTCAAGGAAAAGGTGGGAGCGCTTTGTTCACGGAGAGAACTCACATTTGGTTACTCCCGAAGCTCTCGACTTTTTAGATAAATTGTTACGTTATGATCACAACGATAGGCTTACGGCCAGGGAGGCTATGGAACACGCATACTTCTGTAGGAACTGACCATTGATTTTATAACAAATAGATTTTCTAACGAAAAATATAAATTTTTATAGACCCAGTTGTGAAGGAGGCGACGACCCGTTCTTTTATAGACTCTCAACGCCTAACCGGCCACAGCGGGACTCCCCCTCCAGTTGCATCTGTAGGAGAATTAAATCCCCAAACAGTTACCTAATTATATGTATTTTTTAATCAATTCTTAATAATAATTGAACTCATCTTAAAGTAAACAAACAATCCATATAAAGAATGATTCGTTATTATTATAATTCTAATTATTATAACAATAATTTAAAGCTTATGTATTAAACGAACGGTAAAAATGGCTTGAAATTACATTTTATTTATTTTGGTTTTTTTTATTTAAAAAAATCTATTGAAATCTGCAATTCTTGTGCTCAGTTTTGCGAATTTTACAGTAAAAACATTACAGAAATGTCAAAATTTTATCAAAAAGTTTATATCCATAATTTGGAATCAAAGTAAACTAAAAGCGTTTAAATTGATTTTTATAAACAATTGAAATAAAAAGTACTTTCAATTGAACTCAGATATCACTTGACAACACACGCATCCATATTAAGTTTTATATTGATTATTAAGTGATTGATAACTTATATAATTGAATTTTTTTATTTTGTAAAAGTAAGTCATTTAATTTTTTCCAGACCTCATTGAAATTTTACAATATATTTTCATGTAATAAATTATAATTTATAGATAAATGTTTTGATTATTTTTTCAAAATTGATTATAAATTACGGGTAATATAATTTGATGAGTAAAAGTTATGTGAAAAAAATGTTTTTCAAACTAATATTTATTCAGAATTTAAGTAGTATTTACAAAATAACTTTTGTTATATTAAAAGAATGAATGGATAACTAATAACTAAATATAATTAATTTAATATAAATAATATGTTTTAATAGCATCAGAAAGATATGTTTGGCTGAATAAAAATTAAGACACCATTTAATTTCATTTTAATAATAAAAATAAATAATCAAGATAAACAATAAATTGGTATGATTTTAATTTTTAAATTATTCACTATTTTATTATATCATATTTTTATTAGTTTATAAAAAGTATACTACTATACCTGTATTTTATAGTAAAGTATTGTAATAATTTGATAATTTTGAAGCAACATGTTCATTTTACTCATTTGTGAATATCAAATATAACTTATAAAGTTTTTAAAAATTAACATTTCAAATATTATTGGATTAGATAATTCAATATTTAATATAAATATTGATTTTACACATTATCTTAATCTCAAGTGTCTATTACATACGATTACTATTAATATTGTTTAAACTTATTGTTTATTGATTTATAATTTAAAATGGTTAAATTTTTAATTAATGGTATATTTCTATTTTTAACTACTAGTTATTGTAGAACAGTTTGTATAGATAGTTATAATGATAGAGATTATTATAATCAAAGTGATGATAAATTAGTAATAAATATAAACGTAAATGAAATCAACAATATTCTGGACCATTTTTGGGTAATTATTTTTTAATGTGTGTGTTTGTATGTGTGTATGTGTGTATGTATGTATGTRTGTGTGTGTGTGTGTGTGTGTGTGTGTGTGTGTGTGTGTGTGTGTGTGTGTGTGTGTGTGTGTGTGTGTGTGTGTGTGTGTGTGTGTGTGTGTGTTTGATATTGTTTATTAGTTATAATAATTCTTAATTACATTTTTTTATAATAAGTTTTAATAAAAATTATAAATAGGAAAATACAGGATTTTGGTGAGAGTTTGATTGAAAAAAAAGTTTAACTAATGTTATGATTTGGTGACAGTCCTCCTGATCCTCACTCCGATGCCTTCACTTATATGTTGAGTAGTGATATGCACCACAATTTGGCTTTAATAGGCTCTGTACCACATAATGGCATTAAACAGATTAGAATACATTACTTATTGAAATTGATCCAGGTTGACGTTTTTAATGGTCAATTTGAATATAATTTTACATATTTAGATCAATTAATAACATTACTTAGAAATTACAATTTAAAACCTGGATTTGAATTAATGGGAAATCCGTCCAACATTTACAATGATTTTGAAAATAAGACTCAAATTATTCAATGGAAAGAAATGGTTCAACAAATGATTAGACGATATATAAAGAAGTTTGGATTGAATTATATAAAGCAATGGAATTTTGAGTCTTGGAACGAACCGTCCATTGAATTCAAACATTATTTTAGTGATAATATTAAAGTCACTCCAAAAGGATTTCTTAATTATTATGACTCCTGTTCTTTGGCTATTAAAGAGATCGATAATAATCTTGTATTTGGAGGTCCGGGAGACCACTGGCCTAAAGATATAAAAAATGGTTCATTTGTTATAGATTTGATCAATCATTTTATCAATGGTTCTAATTTTTTAAGTGGAAAGAAGAGTGATATTAAATTAGATTATTTGTCATTACATGAAAAGGGATCTAAAGGCCAGTCGTCTTACACCGACTACTTAGAAGATAAGGCTTTAAATGATATTTCTTATTATTTTAATACTTTAAAAAACATACCATTTGTTAATAATGAAGGCGATCCTGAAGTAAGATATTATTATTATTTGATATAATGTTTTGTATGTTATAATGAAAATATATTGTATTATAATAATTAATGTGATTTATTATACATGTATTATTAAGGTTGGTTGGAATAGGAACAGGACGTGGAGGGCTGATAATAGATATGCCGCTACTATTGTACAATCAGTGGCCAGACATATATATGGATACAATTACACCAACAAATTATCACAGTTTGCATTTGATAACGCATTCTTAAGCTATTATCCGTATCAGTTCACTCAACGAACATTATTAGCCAGGTCTGTCTATTTAATAATTTATTTAAATTTTCAACTTATGTAAACTCAATTTAAATTTATGAATTAGATTTCAAATAAATAATACTAAACCACATTTCACACAATTTATTAAAAAGCCGGCACTTTCTGTAATGGGATTACTATCCAAATTAGGCGATCATTTATTGCATTTTAAATCAAATGTCAAATCAAATTCAACATTTAATATTATAAGCAGCGCTTATTTTGGCACTAAAAACGTTTTAACATCTAATTTAAGGTTTATTATATATGCATGACTATAGGTATCATTACTTGAGTTTGGATAAAATTAATTTTTTCCAGTTATGAATCTTGATTATCGATGCAATGGTATCTAAATGTTTTTTTTATATATTAATTATAGTATTGGTATACAATCTTAGGGATGTTCACAATCTAAAAAAAATAGAAAAGTAATTATAGTTATACATTATACAGTTTGTACGTATTTAATAGAGTAAATCAAATTAAAATATAAAAATCAAATAGGTCTATTGTAGTTATATTGAATTTCATATTATATCATGAAAAATTTATTAAAATGCATTTTATAATAAATATATAATTGAGATATTTTATAAAATGAAAACATAGTTGAAGAAAAAATTATATTTTATCCCAACTCAACTTATTTATATTTATATTTATTTATTTAAACCTTTTTCACTAATTTTGTCATTTATTTTACATATGTTTTCTCATTTGTATTTGTATTTTCAGTTATATAAAATAACTTTATTATATATTTTTCATTTATTTGTAAACTATATATAATTTAGAATATTATTAAATTAATATTTAGAGCCAAAGAATATTCTATATTAATTGTCAACTCATTGGATACACTCTTATCAAACAAAACCAATTTTGTAAAAATAAACATAAATTTTGAGAAAATAAATGAAGATCTAAAAGACTGGAAGTGGACTCAGTATATAATGGATAATATTTATACCAATCCTTTTGATATCTGGAAGCAAAATAATTGTCCGGATTATCCATCAGATTACTTATTCAGACAAATGAGAGATCACGAAGTGATAACTAATAATTATTTTGTTGTCTAATAAGTTTTTATAATATTATTAATTTTTATTATTTATAATATACTGAATAATAATTATAAGATTAATATTAATATTAATATTAATATATTAATCAATAATAGGAACCATATATATCTGTTAATTCTGAAGACTTGATTCTTGACTCAAATGTTTGGTCACATTCTTTTGAAATGTCATTTCCGAGTATATCTTTGATTCAAATTTGTCGTAAAACTTATTCAACGCTTCAAAAGGTTAGAAATACACCTAAATTTTAATTTCTATTTATTAATAATTATTTTAAGATTTATGACTTTCAAGGCATTCATATAACAAATACATCGGTTTTATTTACTTGGATTTCATCTAATATTAGGTAATATAATACTATTATACAGTTTATTACAATAAAGTATTTTCACTGTTAGTATTAATCTGATTAATAAAATTAATTTATAAAAGATGTCTAAAGACTTATGAGATTGAATTCTCTAAGAATGGTTACAATAAATCATTTAACAAAATTAATAATAAAAACATTATATTTTCATCGTTTCAATACACGGGTTAGTAGTATTATATATTAATTATTAATTAAATAAAAAATTATTTAGTATTCTTTACATTTATTTAATACATATATAAATATATTTTTTTAAGTTATTGATAAAAGTGATACTGTGTTTGGTTACTATCGACTTCGAGCCATTGATTTTTGGGACCAAAAAAGTGAATTTTCTGATATATTAAATTGGAAATTATCTTAAATTACAACAATAATAATATTATAGGTTTATTTCATTTTCTGAATTTATTTAATTAAAACTTTATTAATAAATTCTATTATAATTCATAACACTATAAACTAATTAAAAAATAATTTTTTAATTTAAATAATTAAATGTTTTTATATTAAATCTTGAAATTTTGAAACTTGAATATTAAATTATCCAATAGATTACATATTAATATTTAAAACACATAAAGATATAATAGTTGTGTAATAATTTTTAGGAGTCTATTATCATATAATATATGATAAGTACTACTGTATTACTACTAATTTATTTATCATAATTGATGTAATCATGAACTCCTAAAAGGAGTACGTATCTGAATTCTATATGTCTGTCTGTCTGTCCCAAAAATTTTTTCGAATTTTTAAATTTTCATTTCAGATTTTGATAAAGCATCAAAAATGAGCTATGGGGATAAGTATTTAAATTTTGATATTTCATCAGGAACTTAGAGAATATAGAGTTCAAAAATTTAAAAAAAAAATTTTAATTTTAAAGTATAATTTTTAATAGCGCATAAAAATAAGGTACAGTGTATATGTATAAAAATTTACATATCATTAGGAATATAGATAAAATGGCGGCCAAATTACAAAAAAGTTTAAATATTAATTTTAAATTGAGTTTATTATTGATACCCCACATGATTAAAGTTTCTTTGGATAAGGAGTTCGTATGGAAATGCTTTCTAGCATTCTCAACTGGTTTTTTGTATTGTAAGTTTGTAACCATAAAAATTTTATGATTTCATCAAATATCTGCAATTTAAAATTACTTTTAATTTTCTACAAATTTAATTTTGTATAAATGTTTACACAAATATAAATTTATAATTATAATTATGATGTTAATAATATTTAATATTAATAATTACATTATTTTAAATAAATTTTTTAAATATTTTTGAGATTATTTTTGATATATGAGAATATTATTTGAGTAAAATTTATATTTGGCAAAAAATTGACAAAACCTTAAAACTTGATTTATAACAAACATTTTTAATCATTTATCAATTAAAACTACCAAAAAAATCACAGTTACAAGAAAATAAGGAAATAAATTAATACATAAAATTAGTACAATATATTTACTATTATTAGAAAGTTATTAATAGTACAATAATTTAAATTAGAAAATTAATAGCATTTGTATTAATTTAATATTATATAAGTTTATACAGTATTAATATTTTAGTTTCAAATTGAATATCATTGAAATTATTGAAATCATTGATAGCGTTGCTTATGAATCACTATATCATACATTAAATGACATTACTTTATGTTTTGAGTTAACATTAATACAGAATTATAAATATATTATATAATAAAGACTTAAATAGACAATAGTTTTGACATTAAGTTAAATACAGTCTAATTAGTTAAGTATTGATACATTTGGTCTACATTTGCAACATTTGATCCAAATTTGTTACCAAATGGTGGTCAGCAGTGCCATCACTAACGGTGATCATCCCGTGGCCGATGTTGTCTTCCTGGTTGAGGCCACAGCTAATCTGAGTCCATATGTCGAAAGCCTTAAAACCAATTATATAATACCAACTCTTGAGTAAGTGAATGATATTTTGGATCAATTAATCGATTAAATACATTGACAATATAATACACAGACATTTCAGTGGTGGCCCTCCCGATGAACGCGACTATGGATTTGATAATAATGTAATTATATTTGTATTAGTTATTAATAGTTAATTGTTTAGTCAATTGAAATGTTTGTCTTTAAGATTATCAATAAAACGATCGGTTGTTATATTATATAAATAATTGATTGATTGGTTGAAAACATTTCAATGAAATAGTTTTGTAAGAATTTGTGGTTAATTTTAAAACACTTATTAATGACTTGTTTAGTATAACTGCACTCTCTATGCTTTGGTGGCCTTCATGACCGTAGACTGTGCTCCCGAACCGGCCTCACAATGTTTTGCTCCGACCACCAGTTCCTATAAGCTGTTGCAATGGTTGGACAAAATCCAGTAATAATGATGATTAAGTTATTGGTTATTGAAATATATATAAATAATGGTATAATTGATAAATAGATTTATTGGCGGCGCCGGAGAGTCGTGTTCGCACATCACCGAAGGATTTAGCACTGCTTTGCAAGTATTTGATGACTTCACGACTCTTAGAGAGACAACAGCTTCGAGCATAATGTCAAAGACTACCAAACATTGTGTCTTAATTTGCAATTCTCCGCCATATTCTGTGCAAACTCTAGAGAGTCAGACATATGTTGGTCTTAAGATTGACCGATTGGCTGCACTTATGGCTGAAAAGAATATTAATTTCAGTATATTCTCGCCGCGAAAAATGAGTTTTTTATATAAATTGTTTGAAGAGGCCGGCGGTGACCTGAGTCAGGCTCTCAGTAAAAATTACGCTAAAGATAGACGACATTTGGTTTTATTGCGTGGCTTTCAACTTCAAGAACGACCACTTAGTCCACAAATGAATTCAAATGTTGATCAGAAAGTAACACAAAATTCGCCAATAAATCAAATTAATGTCACTCAAGGAATAAAACGGTCACTATCTCCTGTTCCTGGGGTACAGTCTGCACCTATTGGCCCAACAATGACTCCCGTGACTTCAACTTCAAATATAAATCCTCAAATGCATGGGTCCGGACAAATAATGCCTCGAATGTCGCACCCGAATATGGCAAACACGGAAATAACAATGTCTTTTCCACAAAACAAAGTTCCGACACCCGATACCATTATAAAACAGGGTCGCGGGTCTCCCATTCCCATTTCGACGTGGGCTCCGCAGCCCAATGCTCCTACACTTTCAGTTTCATCGTCACCTTCACCTACACCAGGAGGTCAAGCATTGAAAAGTCAATTAAGTATGAGACCACCCGTTAGAGTTGGTATTCCACCACAAATTATATCGAGTGGATTACAATCAGGTTTTCCAAATCAAATTGCGTCTGGCATTCAACTTCCAAATGCAGTTCCAAGTACTCAAATGCAGACACAATCTAATGTTCATCAAAGTAATAATTTAATTCAAACGGCGCCAACTTTAGTCAATTTAGTGACACAACCGCCTCAACCTATTAAACAAAACATGGTTAATGTGCCACCCATTAGACCCGGACAACCACCACGTGGTCAGCAACCGGTGACACTACCGTTTTCAGGGCCTCAAACTCCTTCACCATCACAACAGCAGAACACATCTTTACCAAACATGCAACGAGCAGTTTCATCGCCTTTAATACAAACCCAATCAGTACCGTCTCCAATGCAATCAACTCAATCGCCGCAGCCATTCCCCCAACCCGTCACAACAATGACCCAAATGATGCCATCACAGTCTCAGTTTGTAAATACAGCTCCAGGTATTCAATCACAACAAATGCAAAAAGAGCAAAGACGTCGCGTTTGGTCCGGAATTATTGAATATCAAGAAAAACCAGTACAACCCGGACCTATAAATCCGGCAAATCGTATCACTTACTCATTGAACTGTCAAATATCATGTTATGTTGTGAACGGTGAACCAGAAATAAATGCCGACAAATGGCCCGAAAAGTTGGTTTTGTCTCTCTTACCAAAGCAACTAATTATGAGATTATTTCCAATGCTTAAAAATGGTTCATATCATATAAATCTCCATTTTGCTAATGATAATGACCAGGGATTGATGAAATTAAGCAAATTTATGAGCACTAATTGGGTTTGTAGTTAATGATTATTTATTATAAATTTATATATTGAATACCAAATAAATAATTATTTAAACAATAGGTCGGTTGCATTCAATTTACAGCAATTAATATCCGAATGATGATAATCTTATATATGCCTGAAAAAAGGTGATTATCTTGTGTTTACCAATTGTAAGATAATTGATGGTTAAATTGTATATTCCATAGAATGTATATGGGATTTGTTCCACACGACCAGGAGGAATTCTTCAAAGCCATGAGAGATATCATTGAAACACATAAGAAGGAACAACAGGCAAAACAACAAAAAATGGTAATTCGTTTTATTTAATATAACAATATTTGTCATAACATTGAAATCTCATCACATTTTGTCATTACCTAACATTTAATTTGTTTTAATACTATCATAAGCTTTATCTTAATATAATAATTGAATTTTATTTTACTAGAATAGAGTTTCATATTTTTATTTATTTTAAAAACCATTGATATCGTTAAGGCAATGATACAAATTAAATGTTTCAAATATATGCAAACATTTAATTACAAATTTTCTTGTTTGAGTTATAGAAGAAATTTAAATATAAGAATGACATTTAAATTAGTTTTGTTAATGAAAACATTGTTTATTAGTTGGTGGGCACCGGTGGCCAACTGCCCATTCAACAACAGTTAGGATTAGGTCAACCCCAGGTAAACATTTCTGGACAAATTCCCGTTCAGATATCAGTTCAGTCAACACAAGCACCGCCGATAATGTCTGCGCCCAACAGTATATTTCAGGTATTGATCTTATTTGACACTCATTTTGTTGGCGACCTTTCCTTTGCTTTCGACTCTTTTATATTTAATGCATAAGACATGCATTTTATGAATTTATTAGAAATTCAAAACATTTCATTTAATAACAAACAGTTGCAGCAAATGTCAGGCGGAACGATGCAACAGACAAACCACAATCCAAATATCCCAACGATGCCAATGAATACTATGCCCACTGGAGTTAATACCGGAGCCATGAGTGGTGTGGCCACACAATCATTGCCTCAGCAGCAAAATGTTCTTCTCAATCAAGCACTGGGACCTATGCCTAACAATCAAACTCAGAACAACTTTATGCCAAATAGTATTCAACAGTTGGTTCAAACTAGTGGACCACAAATGCCAAGCGCTGGCCAAACAATGCCTCAGACCGGACAACCGGCACCAAGTGGGCCGAGTCCTCAACAAATCGGTAAATTATTTTTTTTTAATTTTTTTTCTTGCAAATTGGTTATAACTCTTAATTCAGAGAGACAGAAAAACTTATTGGCTATTCAACAATTGGAACAAACTCTAAAAGAAGCTCAAAGAAAGGAACTCGAGTTTCAACAACAACAACAACACGTGGTATCTGTTGATCAGCAACAACAACAACAAGTCCAACAACAGGGACAGTTGCAACAGAACCAGATTAGACAACAATTGCAGCAACAGTTGCAACAGAAACAACATCTCATGCTTCAGCAGCAACAACAACAGCAGCAACAACAACAACAACATCAACAACAAGCGTCCAATTTGAATAACAGTAATCCACAGCTCAGACATTTATTACAGCACCATCAACAACAAGCACAGCAACAACAACAACAACAACAACAAATCAGAGCTACATTGCCATCACAGCAAATGCTAGTAAATCCCCAAAATATGGGTTTAGTTCAGCAACAGACCGGACAAGTGCCTCAATTTCGACTACAGGGACCTACTCTTAACCAATTAACTCAACAACAACCGCAACTACAACAACAAAACAGAAATAATGTTTGGGATAATAATGGTTTACTTGATTTTTAAATTATATAATCAATAAATTTTAAAATTAAAGAATACTTTATTATTGTATATATTTTTTAATTTTTATTATATTATTTTATATCTTGTTTTTGATTTTTTAAACAAGAATTTTCATAAATTTTAGAATATATGTAAAACAATATTTATTTGGAACTAAATTATTAATAAATGATTTCATGATTTAATTTAATTTAATAGTATATCAATTGATTAGTTATTTAATTTTGTTTATATTCAGTACAAAATATAATTTAATATAATTTATTTTATTTTAAAACTATAATTAGTTGAAATTAATTAATATTAAACAATTATTTTTTATTTAAATATACAATTTCTTAAATAACAAGTCTTTTATAAGAAATAAAATCATAATAAGAAGTAATTATAAAAATAGTTTATAAATTGATTAATTTTTAATACTTTTAAAATATTCACAATTTACTGTAAATACAGTGTATTTGGTTTTAATTTAAATTAAGTTTTTTTAGTAAATTTTAGTGAATATTAACTAAAAAATGAATATAAATATTGAGAATTAAAACATTTGTGTAATTAATCGATAGAAGACAAGTATACGGGAGAAGTGATCTGTTCAATGGTATAGGTGTTATCAAACCAGACATGACAGGCGACATCATATATAGGTAACCTCTTGTGTGGATTCGGTTCAATGCAGTCTTCAATTAGATCCATACATTCTCGGCTCAATTCTTTGTTTCTCTTATTTTTCTGTCGATTTGATGTCTTTTGTAAATCGTTTTCTTTTTTGCGCAAAATATCTAAATATGATTTGCGTTTCATGTCATCCAATACATTCTTCATAAGTCTCGGATCTTTTTCGTAGCCAAATGGGTAGTCATTGAATAACAAGATATAAAGACATACTCCGAGCGCCCAAATATCAGCAATGAATGGATTGAATGGTCGTTGTTCTCCAAAGAGTGACTCTTCGTCCAACTTTTCTTTGATGTAAAGGAGGAGGACTTGCGGTGACATAAAGGGAACGGTGCCTCTCGGGTCAAACTCTTTCATTATACCATTTGAATCAATTCGGAGTCGACTTAAGCCGAAGTCAGTTACTTTGAGAGTCACTTTACAATTGGTATCAAACGGACTCTGTTTGTTAAATACCAAAATGTTTCCCAATTTTATGTCCAAATGAGCGATTCCGAGAGCACAGTGAAGATAATAGATGGCTGAAGTGATTTGTGAGAAATATTGTTTGGCCACAGATTCCTCATAAGGCGCGTGACGTTTTCGCTCACTATCAAGACTTCCTCTTTCAGCCAAATCCATGAAAAGATAGCATTTGTGACCAATAATACAATAGTCAAGTATTTTAACAATGTTTGGATGTTTTGATAATCTAACCATTAATGACAATTCACTGATGAAATCTTCTTTCCTTTTTTTACTAATTATTGTTTTATTTCGGTTTACTTTAACTTTTAAGTCCATGACTTTACAGGCCAAGTGATCGGCCATTAGATCTCTTGAATATTGTTTATCCAATTGGTATGCAATGTAAACGATTCCGTTGGCGCCTTCGCCCACAGATATCGACGATAACTCTAACATTCTTTTGTTAATTTCTTTCTTAACATTTTCATTATAGTTATCGTCTTCAGGAATCTCTATGTTTGATACGTCTGTATTTGCATCGAAATCTTGCGGAAGAATCGATGGCTTAATATCTTTGATGTTAACCGCCTGTTCTCCCATATCTTCCATCTGATATGTCTTAGCCCATCCAATCTCTTTGTTTCCACTAATCGGTCCATTCTTTATCTGTTGTTTTTGTTGTCGTTGTTGTGATCGACAACACAACCAATTAACTAAACAACTGAAAAATGAACCCATTTTTTGATATTTATTATTCAATCTCTTATACTAAGTAAACGACTAATACTTATCTAATAATATTTACTAAAACTGAAAACAAATTAAATGAAACATTGATTTAATTTTTAAATTTTACTCAATTGTGTGATTCACGCGCTCTTCACGAGACCAACAATTAGTCAATCAATTAAACAATTAAATTACCACTAATTGTGTAAAACTATATATCAATACTTATGCTATGTCTTAATGCCTCATAATTTAAACTAACTTTAGTTTACAATAAAATCCTAATTTATATTTACTTTTTACTAATTATATGAATATTTACAGAATTATAAAGTGTAATATAAATGTAAATTTAATTATTAAAATTTAGTTCATATAATATATAATTTATTGAAAATTTATAACTGAATACAATATAGCTATTAAACAATAATTTGATAAAATTGACCAAAAGTTATAATCAAAGTTAATCTAAACAATATTACATTTGATTATAAATTTGTTAATAAAATAAATAAAATTATATTTAATTATTTTTGTTTTAAGTTTGAAATTAAGTTCAATGTTAGCGCTCTAAATGTTTGCCAAACATTGGACTCAATAATATTAAATAATACGAAATACAACTTAATATTAATATAATAGTAGTGTTTATAATGTGTTGAAAAACAACATTTAAATCAATTTTCAAAAAAAACTTGAAAAGTTTTGTTTTCTGAAATCTATACGAGCCTTTTGTGTGTGTGTGTGTGTAGCAATTTTTTTGCGAATTTTGAAATTCTGACTTCAGATTCGGTTAGAGGACTACTAATAATGTATTGAAAAGTTGCATTAAAATTTTGATATTTCTTCGGGAACATGGACAAAATGGCGGCCAAAGTAAAAAAAATTTTAAGAAATTTTTTTTAAAGTATAGATTTGAATAAAGCATCAAAAACATGCATAAGAAATATGAATTAAAATTTTCATATCTCTTCGGGATCATAAAGAAAATGGCGGCCAAAGTAACAAAAATTAGGTAAAAATTTTAACGTTTAGAATTGTAAAGAGCATCAAAAATATGATATAATATTTCAGCATATTTTTATAAAATGGCGGCAAAAGTATAAAAAAATTTTAGAATTTTTTTAATTATAGATTTGAATAAAGAATCAAAAACAAAAGTAAAAAAATATGCATTAAAATTTTGATATCTACGGGAACATTAAGAATAAGTATAAGCGGCAAAAGTATAATTATAAATGATTATTTTGTTATACTAAATCATTTGATACCCTACATGACTATAGTTGTTTATTTTGTCAAACCGAGTTATTTGATACCCCACATGACAAAAGTTGAATTTATTTTGTTATACCTAGTCAATTGATACCTTACATGACTATAGTTGAATTTATTTTGTTATACCTAGTCAATTGATACCTTACATGACTATAGTTGAATTTATTTTGTTATACCTAGTCAATTGATACCCTACATGACTATAGTTGAATTTATTTTGTTATATCTAGTCAATTGATACCCTACATGACTATAGTTGTTTATTTTGTCATATCGAGTCAATTGATACTCTACATGACAATATTTATATAATGTATATTTGACCAGTTTTTAAATTTTTATATATTATATAGCCGCTATAACTAATGGTTTTCAATGTTATTCAAGTTTTTTTCTGAAAATGCTTTCTAGCATTCTTAACTGGTTTATTATTAAAAAATGTTTGCTTTGAATATAAGTGAAGTGCAGTTCCAATGACATATAGATAACACAAATTTACTAATAAATTATATATTAATATCTCTTAAATCACTTGAATCTCAATTATATATATATATTGAAAACCAATCGCTAAATAAAATGCCATCAATTTTGTGATATTTTTTATTTTATTTAATAAATTAAAAAGTTTTATAAATTGTATAAATATTTTGAAACAATCATTAAATCATGAATTCAATAGTATTGAAGAAGTGGTCTTTAGTTAGGCATCACTTAAATAGTGAATACTTGAAGACATTGTAAATCACTTGAAGTTATAACTAATAAAATGTTCACTCATTTGATTGTAATTTTTTATATAGAACCAGAAGAATGAGTTCTTCATCGTTATTGACAATTGATTCAATTAATCAAAGAGTCAAACATATGGAGTACGCCGTCAGAGGACCCATTCCTCAGAGGTTTTAACAAACAAATGACAAATAACTAACTAATGATTTGATTGGTGACATGTATTTCATGTGTATTCAGAGCCTCGCAGTTAGAATCACAGCTAAAATCTGGTCAAAAGTTACCGTTTGATGCCGTGATTCGGGCCAATATTGGTGACTGTCATGCTATGAATCAAAAGCCAATAACTTTTTTTCGGTAATTTAAAGCATAATAAATATACCGTAAATGTATTTGAAGTATATTTTGATTAATTTGTAAGTCAAGTGCTATCCGGTGCCGCAAATCCTATTGAAATGCATTCAAATCCCAAAATACCTAAAGAAGTAAAAGAAAGAGTGAATGAGTTATTAGACGGATGTGGCGGTAGATCTGTTGGCGCCTATTCTGAAGCAACTGGAGTTGAGATTATCCGAAGACATATCGCACAATATATTAGAGAAAGAGATGGTTTAGAAACCGATTGGCGAAATGTAGTCCTAACTACCGGTGCATCTGAAGGTGCAAAAGCTATTCTAAGTTTTATCAATACAACGGCTACCGATGGCATTCCTACCGGTGTTATGGTTCCCATTCCTCAATATCCTCTATACTCAGCAACACTGACTGAGTTGGGAATGAATTTAATATCTTATTATTTAGACGAACAAAACCAATGGGCGCTTAATATCAATGAATTAAGAAATGCTTTGCAGAAATCTCGCAGTATTTGTAAACCTAAAGCTATTGTTGTGATAAACCCGGGAAATCCAACCGGTTCTGTGTTGACTAAAGAAAACATTGAAAATATCATCAAATTTGCTGATGAAAACAAATTAATGATAATTGCCGATGAAGTATATCAACACAACATTTGGGACCCAAACGCCCGGTTCTACTCATTTAAAAAAGTAATGCAAGAATTAGGAATCAAACTTGAATTGGTGTCAATGATGAGTGCATCTAAAGGTATGATTATGTAATAATTGTCAAATTATTTTATTATTTTATTTATTAATTTAGGTTTTATGGGTGAATGTGGTCTTAGAGGTGGATATCTAGAGTTATCTAATTTTGATGAAGAAGTCAAAGCTGTATTCTATAAGATGTTAAGCGCGAGACTGTGTTCATCGGTTTTGGGACAAATAGCTATGGATTGTGTGGTTAATCCTCCGCCCAAAGGGACGCCGTCTTATGAATTATATGTCAACGAAAAACAAGAAGTTCTCAAATCGTTGCGAGAAAGAGCTGAACTAATAGCTGAGACATTCAATTCAATTCCCGGTATAGAATCTAATGGAGTGGCCGGTGCTATGTATGCCTTTCCCAAAATTGTATTGCCATCTAAAGCCATCACTGCTGCAGAAGAAAAAAGACAAAAACCAGACTTTTTTTATTGTATGGAATTACTTGAAACCACAGGTATTTGTGTTGTTCCCGGTTCTGGTTTTGGACAAATTGATGGCACATATCATTTCCGAACCACTATATTACCACAAACTCAGACAATGCATAAAATGATGGATAAGTTTAAACAATTTCATATTAACTTTATTAATAAATATAAATAATTGTTATTTTGTTGATTAATATCAAGTTTATAATTAATAATTAGCGTTATATTAAAAATTGTTAAATACTATTTTATATATAGTTAGAACATTAGAAAAATCTTACCGATAAAATAATATTTAAGAAGATCATGAAATTATTTTATAACATAATAATCAATTTGAGAATAATTATGATATATTTGATCAAATAAATATATATTTATAAACAATATTATGATTATAGTTTAATAATAATAAAATCGTGAATTCAATTACTGTATATTTATATAATATTTACACTAATAATGTGAGTACTTACTAATGTAAGTATAAATTTAACATTTCCCTGTATAAGTTATTTAAGTTTTATATTTAACAATTTTATATAACTAATATTGTTTTTTGTTAATAATTTTTATTACATAATAATAAAAAAATATATAAGTTTTATTCTATATTTATTTTATAAATAATTATCAAACATATGCAAAAAAATTGTATGCTATGTTTGTCAATCAATTTTGTTAACAATTTCATTAAAGCAAATAAATTTATGTTAATTTGATTCAATTACTTTCACTGCATAGCATAATATATTTCTTAAATTAATGATTACTGTTTATAAAGTAACTCATTTTAAAATTATTATTATATACAGCAATATTATAATACCTTGAAAATAAAAATCAATTTTATTTATTAAAGGTTTATCAATTAATAATTTATTTGCTATTATATAAACTGAATTTAAGTACTTAAGTAGAGCGATAATTATAATGAGTATATAAAATATCAATTAATAGATAAGATTTTAATTGAATTGCATTGTATTATAAAACAATATAAACCTTAATTATATTACTTTTTTAAAAGTTATTTATATAACTTCAAGTATTCTGAACATAATATTAAAAAATTTTGTATTTGTTTAATTGAATTAATAAACATGTACTAATATATGTTAAATATTATATTTTATTAAATTATTGTTAAATATTATATATTGTATTTTTTAATTAACAGCCAATTGGATAATGAAAATTATAAATTTATTAGTTGTTATTATGTGTTTTTTTCTAATATTTGATGATTTCATTATAGAAGTTGGTATGAATATTATACTGTAGTAAACATATTATTTTAATTTTTATAATTTTCATTAAATTTATAAATTAAATTATAATACAATTAGAGTCAGGATTTGGTAAACGAATGAAGAAAAAGCTTCAGAAGAAAGCAAAAAAATTGGCCAAAAAATTAGTGAGTGATTCAAAAAAGTTATTAAATGACAACAAACTAAATAATGTATTACTTGACTATCACCAAGAATTATAATATTTATTTTATTTTAATGTTTAAAAATGTGATTTAAAAATAAATAATTATATATATATTTTATCTTATTTTTTATAATTGGGGTTAAAAGTTCTAAATATGTATTTACAAAAACTTACAAAATATTTGTGATAATTTTTATTATGAAATAATTTGCGAAAACCCAAAGAATTACATTAAAATTTAAAAATATTTTATATAAATTTTATTTGTCATATTTTTAAACAAAATAATAAATTTAATATTTAACTGAATAAAATTTTGAATAAATTATTTAAACTATAATATTTTTTATTTTATTTTTGTTTTTATGCATATTTTATTCATTTAATTAGAATCTAATTTAGTTATATAAATAAAATTTTAGTTATCTTATAAAATCACTTTTAGCACTTAACAAAAATTATAAATTGTCAAAATTGGTGATTATGTTAAGTAATTTTTTTTAAAGTAAAGTAAAAATAGTGTAATCAAACTATACTATATTATAAACTATTATGAAGATTTAAAAAATAATATTATCAAATATCAAAGTCATGATTATAATAAACAATATCACGAGTGAAACTAAATTACATATTGTTTGTCGATTTTGAAATTTTAATTATTTACTATTTTAAGAATATAAATCTTTATTAAAGTTTGCAAATTTGTATATAAATAAACATTTAGTTTTATTTATTAAACCAAATAATCATTAAAATGTTTATATCATTGAACATCCTATTAGTTTCTATTGTTTGTATTGATATTATATTTAGTCAAAGAGAGCCTATATTTTGTGAAACACCAGTCTTTGACTCAGTGTTTCATTATTATACTAATATAGTGTTTGTAAAAAACAATATTATGTGGAAAGGTATTGTCAAGTCCTCATACACTCTAATTCAAGAGCCGCCCATTCAAATGCCTGAGTTTGGAAACCCGGGTTAGTTATAATTTTCAAAATTAAAATCTTAATAATGATTTAATAATCAGCAAATATTGTAAAGTGCAAAGCATGCTATTTAATACACAATTATATGATTGTTAATTCAATTATATAACAAACAAAACTATTTGTTATAAAATAAATAATTATTTGTTGAATATTTATTGTAGTAATTGATGTGGTGTTAAATATATTGAATAATGAGAGGATTGGGTTTAGTCTTAATGTTTATTTAATTAGTAAAATTATAGTTTCTTTTGTTATATACAGTATACGATAATTGGAAATTAAGTATTAAATTGCATATATTTTAGTAATTATTAGCAGTAAATGAACTTTTAATTCAAAATTTCCTGAAATATAGGCTCAACACTTGTTTCAGGTTTTTTCATCAAACAAGTGCCTCTCTGTCCTCAAAGTTATAACTATTGCAATGAAATAAAAAAGGCCAAAGATTTGTTGTTTTTAAGACAACGGGACAATAGTGGTGTTGAGTCAACTGTTGTCCTCAAATATAATATTACTTATAATATAGTGTCGCCCGCGGACTACCCGTTCAATATGAGTGGACGTATCATGTTTTGGCCCCAAGATTGGGATTATACACAATCTACTGAACGACCGGTCCTTTACTTTGACAGAAACTATGAGATTATGTTTATTGTATTCAGTGGTGAAAAAGATAGAGTTTCACTTCATTATAACAATATCTCTACAATCGATTGGTACAAAAATATGAATAAAGTATCGCTTAATACTGACATCAAATTTGTGGGAATGTTTCAAATGAAAGATAAGGCATATATTGTTGGAGAGGATCCCAACGATCCCATCGATAATAGAGAAACTAAAGTCTATCAGTTAGATATCAATACAAAAACATTTATATATACGGTTAGTTTAACCATTAATGCGATACACTATTTATAACTAACTGTATTTTTAACAAAAATTTCATAAATATTTAAATAATATTAAATTCAAGGAAAAATTGAGAAAATTTTTTGGATGTATAATAAATAATATACCGATTAAAACATCGACTCAACCAATAAATAATGAAATAGAAAATGAAGAAAACATCAAACAATCTAAAGAAAGTGATTCCAAGAGTCAGTCAATAATCATAATAGTTGTGTCCGTCGTCTTAATTATTATAATATTTGCATTTATTGTTATATTTGTTTTCATACGAACTAAAGGTATAATTTAAATGAAAATAAATAATAGTATTAATAGATTTAACATAAATAGGAAACAAGATCTCGACTCCGGCACCAAAACTTGTTGTTAAACCTAAAGCCGATGAAACTGCTACTAGAGTTTCATCCATTGAAACAATACATTCAACAACTGGTCATTTCATTAATGAAAAGTTGAAAAAACCCAAAAAATAATTATTTAATATTAATGATATAAATTTTAAATTACTATTCATATATTAAATATTATATTTTAATAAATATATTTTATATATTATATTTTAATAAATATATTTTATATATTATATTTTAATAAATATATTTTATATATTATATTTTAATAAATATATTTTATATATTATATTTTAATAAATATATTTTATATATTATATTTTAATAAATATATTTTATATATTATATTTTAATAAATATATTTTATATATTATATTTTAATAAATATATTTTATATATTATATTTTAATAAATATATTTTATATATTATATTTTAATAAATATATTTTATATATTATATTGAAAAATAACATTTTATTCTTTTAAATAACTGAACATTAAAATAAAATAAATTTTAATATTTATATTGTATTTAAATATTTAAGTATTTAAGTATTTACATAATAAACAATATTTCTAAACTAAATTTATTCTAAAACTTTTTTAATTTAACTCTGAATTTAACTAAAAACATTAAATTCAGAGTTAAATTAAAAAAAAGTATTATAAATTTTTATTTATAAATTAATATAAAATACTGTATTTTAATTGTCACCAATTTTATGCTTATGAAAAATATAATAACTATATACCAGAATAAACTTATAGCTAACATTAATTTACACAATTTATACTACTTTTTATAGTTTTTATCAAAACATATTTTGATAAATCTATAAGTTATTTGAATGTATAACTATCTATATTTACAAAATAAATCACGAAAGTTATTTGTTAATCAATATATGAACTAAAAACACAATTACTTATAAAAATAGAAAAAAATAATAAACAAAACAATTATAATATGGTTATATAACTGGTAGATCTCTAAGTGTGTTCACAATTATTACTTAACTATTATTTCTGGCAGATATCCCATTGAAATAAATTAAGAAAATAAGTAATGAATAACATCTAAAATAAAAATATTTCATATGATTTTATTTTCTATTTATTATTTTTAACTTTCTATGTATTACTACATGTAGTTATTGTTATGTTATGAATTGAATTTCAAATACTGTATTATATATTTTATTTGAACTATCATTATTGCAAACAGTAGTAAAGCTAAGTTTATATCTTAAAACAGTTTATTATACAATATTAAAAAAAGTTTATTTTATTATTGCAAATGTAAATGAATTATCTATTTTGAAATTTATGTGTAATTTAATTTTTTATAAGTTTTATTAATGTTAAACAAAAATTTATTTGTAATTTGGGTTTTTATTTTATGGAAATGTTTTAATATTATTAGGGAAAACAATATTATATATAAATTAAATGTAACTATATATTATATCATATACTGTAATGGTAAAAGAAAATAAAAAATTTTATACAAATATTTAAATATATAACTTTTTAAAATCAAATAGAGATAAAAATTATTTTATAATATAATATATGTAATAATAAGATAAATTAAAAAATCTTGCAGTAAAATTTCCTAGAAAAATCTCATAATAAATTTCTTTGAAATTGTTATTTTTATTAACACTAATTATGATATATTATTGATAATTTTATTTTTTAATTACTTTTATAAAATATATTGAATAGAAAAACAAGAAGTGCTCAAACAATGTTAATTTTGTGCCAAAATTAAATGAGTTAAACCATAAAATTTTTAACTGTTTTTAAAGTGCTTATTGTCATTTAAGTATTTAATATATATTATATAATAATAATTATATATATAAATTAAAGTTAATCTAAACAATTAAGTTTTTATCCTTTAAATGATTAATTTTTTATAAATTAAACGATGACAGTATTAAATAAATAACTTTTTAAAAATATATAAATATAACAATTTATTTATTAAATAAAGAATAATAAATATTGTAAACAATTAAAACATTTCTACAATAAATAAATAATAAAACAATAAATTTTGTTTCAACAAAACATTTAATCTAATATCTAATTAAAATAAAACTACATTTAGATGAATGCAATGCCTGTCTTCAGATGTCTTCAACAATACTATGACTACATCTGTAAAAAAATTATATAATTTTGTCAGTGAATAATGTTTGCAATTTTACAACTAATATAATTTCTATAAATAGCTATTAAAAATAAATTTTACAAAACAAACAATAATAAAAATTTATAATATAAAATTAAATAATTTAAAACATTAATTAGTTAGACAAAAAGTTAATTAGTATACAAATAACAACATTTAAATAAAATATAAAAAATATTAGACAACATATAAATTAGTATAATATGATGGATGAGACATACCAAAGACCAAAGTATATAATCCATAGTATAAGTAGTAAAAGGATTAAAATGAGATAATTAACAAATAAACTTTGGGTCTCTTTTTCCGGCATTGGTTTTCAAATTACGAATCAATTAAATTATTAATTTATTATAGCTGTAAATTTCGATAAATAAATTATTAAAATTAAATTTTCACAAATATTATTAAATGCGTAATATTAGCTATAAAACAAATATGTCTATTAAATAAACGTTTGGGAAAATTTCAAAGTGTTTTTTTAGTTCAACTTCTGGATATTTGGAAGATATTTTGAAATGTCTTTTAAGATATTAGAGTTAAATATTTATAATTATGAATATTTATATATTTTTAAAATAGTAATCATATTAGTGTTTAGTGTGTCTAAAGTGTAATCTATTTTACGACTAATTCTAGGACTTTAAGGCAGTCATACAAAACAGTAAATCCTATGAATCCTATGAATCCTATATTCAAGAATATTCAAGAATATTCATTACTTCAATAAGGAATAAATAGAATAAAAATTAATTTTAAGTTTTAAAGATTCATAAATCTGACTAAAAAATATTTATTTATATATTTATTATTTTTATTTGTTAAACACTATATGTAATGTTATTTTTGGTTAGTTTTAAAGTAAACATTTAGTATTAATTTTTTTAGTTAAAAGTAACAGTAACATAGTTTAGTGCTATTTTTATTTTTCTGTATTTATATATTTGATTAATATTTACAAATACGTCCTCCAAATGAAAATAGAAAACTACTGTAAATATATGAGACAATTTTAATTAAGTAACAGTAATTAAAAAAAAGTTGAAAGTTATTAAAACTTTTTAGAAATATATAAATAGTTTCGAATTAATTTTAACATTGATTATATACAGTGTATACACATATTTGGCTATAATATAAATTATGAGAAAGTTTTTTATTTGTTTATGTTATAACTATGTATTTATGGTAATACAATATTATACTGTATATATATATATACATTAGAAGATAAAATTCGAAACTATTTTTTTTATTTTCAAAGATTTTTTTGGCACATATTTTATCGGAGGTTTAAAATATTTGGGATATAAAAGGATTTGTGAAATAAGATTAAGATTTTTTTAGAAACAAAAATCAAAATTTAAGACTCACTCCAGTGTATAGAAACCAAAGAATTAAAAGCAATAGAAGAATAACCACATAATTCATGATAAGATTTTTGGCCTCTTGGTCTGCCATTTCTCTCTTTTATCTGCCGGAGCTCTCAATCAAAGTATGTCACAAAAATCTTTGAAATAAAAAAATCAAAATTATGTGAATTATTAAGTATATCTGCGATAAAAAAATTTTATATTACATAATTAATAAGTTGTTTATTTCTTCAATCAAAACAGTATTAATAATAACAACAAAAACCTAGTTATGGTTAGATCTGTCTCTTGTAATGTGTGTTCTCTGTAATAGTTATTACAAATGTCTTAATCTAATATACAATATGTGCGCAAATGTTTCTTTGTGTCGCTTCTTTAGATATCATTAAATTGTGTACATATGTTGAGCCAAGTTTAGTCAATCATATAAATATATATACAGTATATATACTATATATATATATATAAAGTTTGCATAAATGTTTTTAACTCAGCACTACTTGTATTGTAGAGAACAGTCATACTTGCCATCCATCCTTTTGCATTGATTGCACAGTTTAGTCAATTATTTCTATAAATAAAAATTAAAAGCCAGTAGTAATTCAATACATAATTTATATTATTAAATAAATAATTTTATTCAATTTTAAAACACTTAAATTACATATATTAAATGTCATATAAAATATTTAAATGAAATAGTTGTCAACTGTAATTAGATAATCAATAAATATATTATTATTATAAAAATATTGATAGTTTAAAATAATAAGTTTTGTATGTATTTGTGTTGAATGTCACTCTTTAAGCGATAGTCATAGAAAACTATGAAACTTGTTTTCATTCCAAAGTCTGCTAAAATAAATAAATTAATTTAATTATTGTTATTATTAGCGGTACTAATAATATATATAAATCTCTTTTAAAAATATCTATAAAACAAATTTGTTAAAAACATTAAAACATTGGATGCATTTGCGATGCTATTTTCATGCCAATAATCATGTGCTGCATTTTCATGCATTTTAAATGCATAGACTGTTATTAATTTTTATTAATTATAAACAAAAATGTTATTTAGTGCTGATTATTATTAATCGTAGAAATCACTAAAAGTAAAATAAAATTAAAATAACATAAATAAATAAAAATAAACGAATAAATCTATAGCTAATTCGTGTGATGTACTCATATGCAGAATATAATGTCTAATACAGAGAGACATCACAACGAGTTGTACTACCTTTGAGAGACAGTCGGCGTATTATACTTGCGAGTCGTCGCTTGTCTTTGTCGGGCCAGAAATGATACTGAATTGTGACCCGAATTTAATGAACCGTTTCTAATCCTGTCTTCGGCTGATTTTCGTTGCAAATGTGAACTCTTTTTTTTGAAAATAAATGAGTTTTAAAATATTATTTTTTTCAAATTAACTAACTATTGGAGTGACTTAACTAAACAAAGAATGATAAAATATCATTAAATATAAATTCCGGTAAATCACTAATAATCTTAAGAATCCAATGGTTGGGTAAACATTAAAAACTAGACTTTTCAGTGATATACAAAAGGATAAACCTATCTAAATGACATTATTTGTTAATAATACCTAAATTAATGATTACTAATTCATTTAATGTTTTTACAGATAATAGCTTCTTAATAAAAATAGTTGAATTGCTAATATTAATAGATATTTAAGGTAATGTCTATTTTGTTCAAATTTAGATATAATATGTTAACGACTAACCAGATTATGAAAAGATATGGTTAACAACTTAGACTCCATTTCCCTAAAACTGTCTGATTCTTCGCAATCACTTTTGATTTTAGATATTTCCAACTCTTTTTGTTGTACGATATGTTTCCAATAGTTTGCATCATTATTGCAATCGGAAGCACTGCTATTAATACTAGTGTTTGATCCGAGACTTTGCTGAGACAGTGAATCCAATGTAAGTTTTGCTTTATCCACATATTTCTTGTATTGTTCGTCTTTATCATTAAGTTCTTTATCTTTGTTTACAATTACTTCTTTGAGTGAATCAATTTCTTGTTGTGCATCAATTAGTTCTTGTTTTGTCGATTCTAATGAAATTTCATTTTGTTTAATAATATCCTGAAATGTTTGCATCTGTTCGTCATCAGAGGCATGATTTGATTGGCTATGATTTGCCTCTAATTCCATCAGTTTTTGTTTTAAATGTCGATTAGTTGCCTCTAAATCATTAAGTTTTGTCTTTTCGTCATCGAGTTGTGACTCTAAAAGATTGATGTGTTGGTCATCAGATATTTTATGATTTTCTTTTAATCTTAAGTTTTCAAACTCAAGTCGAGTCAATTTTTCTCTCATTTGAATCATTTGTGTATCACTTTTTTGCATCATTTCAACGGTATGTTCTACAGGTTGTATTGGATGCGTATACTCGACATCCAGACTCATGACATTATTAACCCCTTTATGTCGACTTAATTCAAGTCTCAAGTCATTCAATTCAATCATATATTTATCCTTTTCTTGTATTATTTCTTCAAATTTTTTAGTCACACGCTTAATCTCTTCATCGGCTCTGTCCGCTCGATAGCTCTCTTCTCCGACTTTAAGTCTTAGTTCTTCCTTTTGTTTCTTATAGAGATCGATCTGATTCTTAAATGATGATAACTTTTTCGTCTCTTCTTCCAATTCGCATATCTTTTGCATTAATTTCTCGTTTCGTTCTTCAGTGATCTGTAGTTTTCTTTTGGTTTCTTTTAACTCTTCAATCTTTGATTTATATACATCTTCTTTTGCTTTATATCTTTCGAGTTCTTCACTCAAATATCTGAGTCGATCCAATTCATCCCTATCTTGTTTTAAATCACCTAACTTTGAGTTCAATTGATCCAACTGTTGATTTAATCGACTGACTTCTCTTTCTCTGAGTTCAGCATTCATTCGATAATCTTCTTTAAGTTCTTCGGTTTTAGACAATTCGCTTTGCAAACCAATAATCTGATGATTTAATCGTTGAAATACTGCTTCGTTATCAATCGAATCATTATTACCATTGTTTCTGTCAGAAGTTTGAAAAGTCTTTAATTTTTCGGAAAGTTTTTCGTTTTCCATCTGAAATAACGTCTTCTCGTTATTTAATTTCTTGACTTCCGCTTCCAATTCAGCACATCTTTGAAGTACTGATTCTTTGGCGTCAATTGAAATTTGATTGGAAATGTTGGTGCTTTCAAAACCACCTAAACTTTCATCAAATGTTTCCAATTGTTGAATAGCCGTTTTGATGCCGTGTTGGACATCAAGCGGTAAATTTGTCATTATTGCTATAAAATAATCTTTTCGGTCACAATTGATGGCACACCCGACGATTAATTGTAACAAAAGCGTCAACTGATTCACGTCATAATCTCGACCTATAAGTGTCACGTCTGGCAATAACTTATCGTCAATTGGTTTGTCTAATACTTCACTGTAATAGTCAACGATTGCTTCATAGACTTTGCGTAAATTTGAGACCCGAAGTCTCCAATTGGTTCCGCAATCGGTCTCAATCTTATTGAGCAATTCGGTCTTAAAATATTCGGGACATCTGTTCAATACATATAAATATAATAATAATAATACCATTATCTTTGATATTAACAATAATAACAATACATCTGATTGAGGACATGACTGATGATCACACCATCGCATAACTGGTCAACCGATCGGCATTTGGACGACAAATCAAATGTGTTTAACTATAAGTCAATGAAAATGTTATTCAAATTGATATCAAATGATATATTAGATGACAAACCCATTGGACAAGACTTGTGGTTAAATCCATGAGAGATCAGTCAATCAACTGATATCTAAATCAATGCAAACACTAATCCCGTTATAATTGAAACCAAATCTCATTTGTTGTCAACACTTACGGGTAATCATTGAGTCACTCATTAAGTCAATAAATAACGCAATCATTGAGTCAATCGTTATATTAATACTGTATTAATATTGTATTACTTTATAATTATATAACTTATATGCTGTAAGTGTTACTTAAAGTTTAATCAATACTTACCGTAATATTGTTTCTCATCTAAAAATTAAATAAATTTTATATTAAATTAATATATTTTATAATATGTTTGTAATATAATTTTATATTTATTTAATCTACATTAATACAAATATAAATATATACTGTATAACTACAACAATAGACATATTATAAATATTTAAATTTTAATTAGAGATTACATAAAAACTTTATTTTAACTTTTTATCTTATATTATATTGATATACTAATTAACAATTTTAAGTTAATGTCTATCATCATTACTTATACAACCAGTGCTATTAAAATAGCAATAAATTGACAATTGATTTAATTATTGCATAAAAGCAATAACAAACAAACAACGATAAACTAAATCTTATTAAATGCATCTTTTGTTGAGATAATTTTTAAACCACTATTTTGGATAAGTCTTAATAAAATTGATTAAACCATTTGTTGAACTGTCATGACTTGTGATGATATCTGAACTCTTTAATTGTGGTTCAATAGCTTTAGCCAATTCTTTTCCCAACTCAACGCCCCACTGATCATATGAGTTGATGTCCCAAATGACTCCCTGTGTGAAAATCTTGTGTTCGTAAGCAGCTATAAGTGCCCCCAAATTGAATGGATTAATAACATCTAAAACTATTGAATTTGTTGGACGATTGCCTTCAAACACTTTATGGTTAATAATTTGTTTGATTTCTTGGTCACTCTTTCCTTGTTTTTTGAGTTCATTTTCTGCCTGATGTCTATCTTTTCCTTTCATTAGAGCCTCAGTTTGTGCTAAGAAGTTCGCCAAAAGTATCTGATGGTGTAATCCATTGCTCAATGGATTTAGTGTTTTGACGGGTGCTATGAAATCGCAAGGAATAAGACGCGTTCCCTGATGTATGAGTTGATAAAAGGCGTGCTGACCATTAGTTCCCGGTTCACCCCAAACAATAGGACCGGTAGAATAATTGACATTATTACCAGATCGGGTAACATACTTGCCGTTTGATTCCATGTCTCCCTGTTGAAAATAAGCCGCAAATCGATGCATATATTGATCATATGGAAGAATTGCTAAAGTTTCGGCACCAAAGAAGTTAATATACCAAACACCTAATAATGCCATTAAAATGGGTATATTTTCAGACAACGGTCTTTCTTGGAAGTGCTTATCCATCCAATGCCCTCCTTCTAGTAGTTCTCTAAAGTTATCGAATCCAATATATACAGCAATTGATAGTCCAATGGCAGACCAAAGTGAATACCGACCGCCAACCCAATCCCAAAACTCAAACATCGAATTCTCGTCGATACCGAAAGCGGTGACCTTTTCTTTATTTGTTGAAAGAGCCACAAAATGTTTGGCCACATGTGCTTTGTCTTTAGCCGACTCTAAGAACCAATTGCGAGCTGACTCGGCGTTAGTAATAGTTTCCTGTGTTGTGAATGTTTTGGAGGCAATTATAAAAAGTGTTGTCTCGGGATTCAGATGAGACAATATTTCAGCCAAATGTGTGCCATCAATATTGGAGCAAAAGTGAATATTGGGTCCATCTTTTGATTTGTAGTGTTTTAGAGCTTCGGTCACCATAACAGGTCCCAAATCTGAGCCACCAATACCTATATTCACAACGTCTGTAATTTTCTTAGCCGTAAATCCTTTCCATTGTCCACTAATAACAGAATCGGAAAAACTCTTTATTTTATCCAAAACTCGATTCACTTCTGGCATAACATCTTTGCCATCGACCAAAACAGGAGTATTGGATCTATTCCTTAAGGCCGTGTGAAGAACTGCACGGTTTTCAGTAAAATTGATTTTTTCTCCCGAAAAAAATTTTGTCCGCATCTGTTCAACGTTACGACTGGCGGCCAAAGACAACAGCAAATCCAATACATCTTTATTTATCAGATTTTTCGAGTAATCAAACAAAATGTGTCCGCCCTTTGGTGTCTCCAATTTGATACTATTTCGGTGTTAAATACGGTTAACATTTTCATGTAAATATCAATTACCGCTAATAATACTGTATATGATATTCAATATTACCTGTATTTTTCAAATCGTTGTTTGTCTTCATTGAATAGATCCGAAAGATTTAGATTTTTAGTCAAAACATTGTTAGTGTGATATTGTCTTAACTTCTTGTAATTTTCATCATCAGTCAGACCATTAAACGACTTATTTTCCGTTTCAATGGCAAACTGATGACCCGATCGCAGCAATACTGAAGTACTGTTGGCTGACATTATTAAACACTTATTGATACTATTTATTGACTTTTATTAATAATTTTAATAAAATAATGATTTTGACGACAATTTCAAAGTGTTGTTAATTTATGTCAAAATACTTATAATATTTAAAAGGAAATCAAATTCTATTATTCAATAAATTAATACTAAATCAGTACTGAATGTCAAAACTTATGAACCAATGCTCACAATAATTGCCGAATAGATTACAAAAGCATTCATTAGTTTTAACACTTTTCACTAAATATTCTAAACATTAGTCTCAACTCCGCCCACAATGTGTGCTGAATATGCTTTTGGTTTATTTAATACAAACATAAATCTAGTGATGTATTAATATTGAAATCAATTTATTTATATCAAAATTTACATCAGTTATTCACATATTGTAAATACAATATTTAAATAAGTAATTTTTTAATTAACATAAATTATATTTTAAATTTAATAATTTTGAGAATTAATGAATATTGTGTTGATTTTTTTTAACTATTAACTATAAAATATTCATATTTTACAATCGCTTACATCTCTACATAAAAATCATTTAAATGGTCGGAAATATTGTTGATATTCCAGTTAAACACTGATTGAAACATATCTTACGTAATATTAACTGATGTAAAGGTAGTTCACAGACAGTCTATAATATAGTATTGTTAGACAATTGGCTGACAACTAGTAGTAATGTTAATGAAATCAAACAAAATGATAGAAAAGTCAAATAATTGTTGATTTTTTTGTATAGTTGTAACTCTCAACTGACAACTCTATTGATATAATTTCATTGATTTCAAGGTTAAACACTTTTAAACTTATTATAACTTTTTAATAACATTTAATAATAAAACGGTTTGGGTTTTGTGGTCTAATAGATCTCTCAAATCTATAGAAATAAATGACAAATTGAAACATTCATCTGAAACCCAAACCGCAACGGAAATCCAATTTCCTATTTTAACTGTTATTAGCATTTAATTCATTATTTTATAGACTAAATATAAGATATAAATTGTTTAATTTATTGAGACATAAAATAAAGTTTATAGAAAAATCACTAAATATTGTCTACAAATGTATATTTATATAGAAATTTTTAAATATAGATTATAATTTATCATTATAAAACTACAGGTATATTAATTTGCTTATCAAATATAAGTAATAATAATTACAATTATTGTAATACTATAATATAATATTAATTACAGTAATAACATATTCAAAATATAGTTTCCTTATACTCTATAATATAGATATTGTAATATTAATAATATATCATATAATATCAATGATACTTATCATATATAAATTATAATATAAATTACATTAGCATTAAAATTGAATAAAATTACACAAATATATAATTATTATATTAACTATTGATAAACAAATAAAAAGATAATTTGATTGAATAGTTATTAAATAATGATATATAAAATCATGATATATATACTGTATTTAATAACTTTTATATTATTATTATTATTATTATTATTATTATTGAAATACTGTAACGTTGTTAATGAATATGAATGCTATGCCAAACAAGACAATGAACTAACGTAAAATTATATTACGAATTGCTGAGACGACAACAATGTAATAGAGGTTAATATTACAGTCCTATTCATTAACTAAGTTATCATATTTACAGCTTAGAGTCTATGCTTACAGTCATTGTAAGCATTAAATATGATAACTTAGTTAATGAATAGGACTATAATATTAACCTCTATTACATTGTTGTCATCTCAGGATATTGTAAAAAATTTTATAGACGATATAAACAATAAAGTGATGTCAAGTCATGTCTAATAATAACATAATATTTAATAACAATATAATTATGTATTTAATTATAAATCAATTGAAACCATGTATTGATTAATACTTGATTACCGATGAGGTGTCGGCCTTGAAGTGACCATTAAAATGAACGACCGATTTGTTGTGAGCAAAGGTGGCACTAGTGTGTCAACGGATCAAGTGTTGGTCACTTCTGGCCATTCAGTCAATCAGCCGAACGGTTCATATTTGACTTTCTGTCCGACACAGACATTGGTGGACAACAATTCAAATGAAATGATTAGTCAACAAAACAGTCATCCGAGTCATCAACACATTCAAAGGCATGACAACAACCACTCGTTACCTCCGATGAGCTCATTCGTGGCCAATGTCACCACTAATGTCTCGCAAACAGTCACGGCTAATGTCAACTGCGAGCGGACAGTTAGCACAACTCACCCGATGCTCAATAGTCAAGACCTGAACATTGAGTTACTGACGGCTCAGACGGCCAACGATTTGGAGGCTTATAATAACGATCCGTTGGACCAAACATTTGTCGACGCCTTAAATATGTCTCAGTTTGTATTTGACCCGTTTCTTACCGACGGCCAATCAATTGCAGCTCAAGTTAATAGTAATACTGAGGAAACTGTTTATTATTCATCAGATATGTCAGATTTGGCGGCCACTCAAGTGTCAACACAAACATCGACCAATACAACCAATGCACAAGCATTTGGTTTGACTATAGGTCCACATATAAGCGATATCTTCTCTGTATTGGATTCACTGGAAACTGACGCCTTAGCAGATAATCTTTTAAATGGTGATCAATACTGTACTACCGAATCATTAGTTGCGTCAAACAACTTAACTAACAACTCATTTATGTCGCAAACTCATCATCATCAGCAACAACATCATCATCAACATCACCACCAAACACAAGCACAACAACAACATCCGCAACAAATGCAACCAACTCTTCAAATTGCGGCTAATTTGTCATCCAATCAACTGACCCCTCGTTCACAAGCAGTTCATTTGACACCAATTGTTTTGCCAGCGATTTCCACACAACATATGATGACAATGACTAATACAACGCAGTCATTAATACATAGCAATGATACGACAAATGGTAATCCAGTTGTTAATAATGCACTTCCAGTTAATATGAAGCATATCGATGCTCAAAGTATTGACAAATCAAATGCCAAATCTATTAATATAAATGACAATAAAGTATCGATTCATTTGACACGATTTGAAGATAAAGAGTTGATTGAAGAGACGAAATGTTTTAAATGTCTTATTTGTAACTTTATATCACTTGAAAAATCTGTTGTCAGTAAACATTTGATTGAAAATCATAAAAGAGAAACAAAAGTTACTTCAGATGAAGATAACTCTAAAATGATGGTCAGTAAGAAGGCAAACACTTACATGTGCTCTAAATGTTTTAAAGGTTTTCCAACACTATTAGCTTGTCGTCAGCATATGGTTAGTCTACATAAGCTTAAAGTTGATAACGTTACTCTTGAAACTATTGAAAGTGACCAAAATATAAGTCCAATTAAAGATAAAATTGTCACAAAAATATTACAAAAGGAAGTTCTCAGTGAAACAAATGACAATTTACAGAATAAAAAGGCATCAAAACTTAGACACATTTTACCCAATGGTAAGGTTGAGGTACAACAGGAACAGCTTATTTCAAGTGGAAAAAAGACTAAACAAGTGATCGTTACAAAAATACATGAAAGTAATAATAATAACATTGAAAGCATTAACAACAATATGACTGATAATAACAATCAAAATAATAACACAACAAACATATTGAATGGTAATAGTGTTCAACATAACAATCATGTGAATGTCAAACGGTTGGCCTGGAAGAAAAAGGTCAAACGAGAACAGGGAACCTATATTTGCGAATTTAAGGGATGTTCTGTACGATTCAGGGCTATAGACAATCTACAGAAACACCACAGATGTCATTCAGATACCGGTTCTGGATTTGTGTGCTCTAATTGTAACAAAAGTTGTGAACAGTGGTCATCAATGGCTGGTCATCTTTGGCGATGTCATGGCATTGATTTAGAGCTTCACGCGTGTGAACACTGTTCGTATAGGACATACAGTCTAAGTATTTTAGAGAATATTCATAAACGGATTCATAGCAATGAAAAGAATTTTCTTTGCGATACCTGTGGTAAAGGATTCAAAAATTGCAAACAACTTATCAATCATAAAGTAAGACTAAATTAAAATTGATTTATTTGTTACATAATTTTTTCCATCATTAGGTTAAACATGTGGTTAAAACATCAGTCGTGAAGACTCATGAGTGTCACATATGTTTACGTCAGTTCAATGACGCCCGACAAAAGAAAGTGCACTTAAACAATGTGCACCATAAGACCCGTCCTTATATTTGCAACCATTGCAACCATTCAGCCGCTAGTCGTAGTGCCTTAAGAACTCATATGAGACAACATACAGGAGAAAAGCCATTTAAATGTGATAAATGTAGTTATAGTACAAGTGATCACAACTCACTTCGTAGACATAAAATGAGACATTCTGGGGAAAGACCCTATAAATGTCCATTTTGTAGCTATGCTTGCATTCAGGTAAGACATCTTATAATTTAATGGTTGATTCAATGTTTGTCAACAAATTATTTTTTGATATCAGTCTAGTACTTATAAACAACACTTGAAGAACAAACATCCGGGACTTAGTGAAGGAATTATGTTTAACTGTCAGTTCTGTGACTTCAAAACAGTCAATCAAGATATGTATGGAACGCACATGTCTGAGCACATGAGGAATGGCTACAATGGACACAAGGATGCCATTAAAGACAACAACAAACTTGAGACAGACTCTGACACTTTGTCAATGGCTCCGGACAGCCCTACACTCCGTTTTGCGTGTATTGTCGGACAAACGATTTCGAGTCAAACAAATACTCCGAGTGTTTCCTATGCATCGTAACAGTTGTTATTAATTTATATCAATTCATTTGATTTTTACTTATTTGCTTCTTTCCAATACTAAGTCATTAATTGTTGGGATTTTAGCCTTAAATACGGTTTTTTTTGCAAATGGGAGCGGAATTTCATTGTATAGTTTATTTACTTAGTTGTATGTAATATATAATTCATATAAAATATTCAGTTTATTTTTAACATTATTTCTCTGAGTTTAAGTCATTAATGATAAGAAACAGTTTACTGTAGCAATTAATTATTTTATTTATATAAATATATTTTTTATCTCTAATAATCATTCACTTAATATAAAATTTCAATAGATTTTATAATCCCATCAGAAATATTGTATAAAGATAATCATTAAATTAAAATGAATTTATTTTTTGAAATTTTATGGCTTAAAATTAATTATAATATTTTAGCACAATTTTAAATTTATATAAAAATTTTAATCAAAATTTCAGATATGATATTATAAATTATTACTGGTAATGATTTCTAAGTACCGTAAGTACTGTAAAACAAATTTATAATAAATACAGTAATTAACAAAAATAATTTATATTGTATATAATTTATGTCTACATCTATTTATTGCTCAAAATGTTTAAAACTATTATGAATGAACATTGGATTTGTTTTTATAATAATTGTCTAATTTCGACAATTTTGAAGTATTTGTATTTTTTGTATTTTCAAATTGTAGCATAAAATTTGTGAGTTTTTTAATACTCTCGAAGACAAGTAAAGTCATCACATAATTTTACGGCTTATTCACAACAAAAATGATTGACAACCGATCCAGTGATCCGACAAAATCATTATTCCAGACTCAGTATTCCTGATGACCAATGTTTGGATACAAATTCAAGTCTTAGTTTATCGTAGAGTACTTTATAACGTTAAACAAACAATTGATTCATACAAAAGTGGACTTAAAATATTAATTTTACATTATGGCATAAAAGTTATACAATCATATCTATATAATTTCACACAAATACGACCAAAGATATGTTGTGTGAAATTATAGTAAAAATACATATATTAATAATTAGGTCTATTTTTTTAATTTAAAAGTTTTATGTATTATTCAAAATATCTGTTTAACAAAGAATTTATTTTAAAATAAATATAATGTATTAATATTGATAACTATCAATGATATTTGATTTTGTAAAATATAAAAATTTAGAGCATTTTCTACAAATAAATATTTATAAAACTTGATTTTATATACGATTACAAAGTTTTGATATCTACAATACTGTATAAATCTATAAATTTGGATAATTATAAATTTTGAGTCACTTAGGATTTTTTAGATAATATATTTTTGTACGAAATAATATTTTTCAACTAAAATATTGATTTATTACAATATTTATCATTGATTTATTAATATTTTATTTTATATATTAAAAATAATTGATAAAATTAATTAAATTTATGATTAGTTTAAGATAACTTATTGTTAATTTAATAAATTTATTTTAGTAAAATCAATCTTAAATAATGTAAATTATTAAAAATAATATTTTTAATAAAACAAAATGAGTTTAATTTCAATTTTGATAACACAAACTCACGACAACTATTATATTTATAATCCATTGACTAATATTGCAAACAACACGCTATTATATAAATTGCACTAATTTTTCATTAAAATTAGTGACTTTCAAACAGACTTTTCTAATGTTATACATATTTTGCTTTAACTCATTTCGATTAGTTTATTAAAATAATTTATTATTAACAATAAAATATTTTTATATACTCATCAATTTTCTATAGTTTTACATACAATATAAAGTATAATTTTTTTCTATTTTTTGTTATAATAGTTCTAAATTATGCAATAAATTTATAGCAATAGTGACTACAATATAAAGTATCGTATTTCATGAAAATAAAAAACACAAATAAATATTAATAATTTATTCATCACTACAAATATTGTGTCATTAAATCATAAATGAATTTAATATTTTAATTACTTCATATAATACTAATATAATCAAATAAATTTTTAATTTTATACAATTAAAGCATATAATTAAAACAATTACTTGAAAATTATAGTTTATTTCAAATTAGTCAATAAATAATAACAAGTTTTTATTTTTAATAATTTATTTTTAATAATTGTTCAAATTTACAGTATTAGATTTTTAAGATAATAATAAATATTATTTAGTACTTATAATCTATCGAAAAAACAATTATGTATTTAACAATTAAAATGTGCTAAAGTGATAATTGAGTTTTTAAAGACAATTTTAAGTCATAAAATACATCTCTAGTTATTCAATAGTACCTGAAATTGTTATTATCTATATTTGTTGATATTGTGGAAGAAAACAATTAAAAGATTATATATATTTTTAAAGCTAATTATAATTTACTAAATACTCTGATATAATATGTGTTTAGCTTTAGCTATAATCTATTGCAAATATTATTAGTACTATAACTATATATTAAAAAATATCTGTTTAAACTAAAACTAATAATTGAATCATACAATCTGTATGGAACCTTAATATTAATATTATGATTTGATTATGATTTTTTAATTAAATAATATAAATTATCAAACAAATAAACTATTAACTACTTTATTGCTAGTAATTCAACAATTTTAAGTAAATTTATTTTATTTTAGTAATTATTAATTAAAAAATAAGGGCTTTATATTAAACCTACAAATTTGAGTTATTTTTCAAATAGGATTTAGTACCTAATAATATACTGTAATTGTTTTTGAATTGTATTAAAGTACATATATTTTGTTATTTCTATGTATACATAGATTAATTTTTATGTGTAGATTTTTTATATATTTTATTTGTAGATAATATTTCAAAAATAGCCCATTTTAATAGAATTTGATATATTTATATAATAATAAACCATTTGTGAGAAATATTTATAGAATTGTTGCAAAAGTGCTAATAGTTAATGAAATTAATAGAAGTGTATATATATATATATATGTGTCGATAATTGGCACAAAAAAATTGTCCAAAATTCTGGACATTTCGATATTGCAATAGATTTAGTGAATCGTCAGATCTGCAAAAAAATGTTGGTATTCAGTAAATATGAGACAAAATTTAAATATATATATATTTATCATAAATATGTATATAATATATGATATATCGTACAAATGTATGTCCTTTTTTAGTGAGCATTCATTCATACATTGATTGATTGATTCATTCATTCAGTTGAGTGTTTGGCCAACGCTAACAAAATCATAGTCAGCTCTTTCTTATTGATTTTGCCGTCTCTATTGTAATCACATCCCGAAAGTATTGTCTTCTGAAATTCACCCAAATCTTGTGCGTCATAGTCCTGATTACCAATCAATAGATTACAACATTAAGTTTATTATGAATTCAATTCAAGTAAATTCAAAAAATAGTTTTATATTATAATAATATTATGTTTAATGTTTAACCAACAAAAATATTATTTATAAAATATATATTTTAATTAAAAATTAATTTGGATTCGCATGCTTAAATTCTATAATCAATTGATAAAATTATTAATAGAAAAAATATTCATAAATATTTAATTTATATTTAAGACTTGTATTAAATTTTTAATATATTGTAGATTCTATAATATATAATATTCTATTATATTCAGTAGTTATATACAATTTGTTGTCTATTTTTGGAGAACAAGTAAAGATTTGTAATGTTAATCAAACATTTATTAAAAGTGATCCAATGGTATGACACTAAATATTGATTAAGGCCTCCGGTTTACTTTAAGTATAAAAATTAACGAAAAAATAGGTTTGTGTATAAAATGTTGTTTTGTTTGTTGCAAACTATTACATAAATAAAGGATTTTGTGTAAAGTTATGTTATATTATAATAAACGAAACAATAAATAGAAATGAAGTTCTCATCGATTCTATGAGATTAGCGTTTATTTAATTATTGTTTTAGCGATTTCTATAAAAATATCTCTCTTAAGACACTTTACGCGATAGGAATAGTAAACAACACATAACTTTAATTTATATATTATATAAAAGACTAAAACATTTACTTACTATTTATCGGTTTTGAATCAATTTACAGCTAATTTTGTAATTTATATATAAATATAAGATAAAATTGTAAGTCGTTTTCCAAAAGGACTGTTCATTGGCTTAACAATTCCTATATACAAAAAACAATGTCTAAATCTAACGATACCTTAATTCAGTAAATGAATAATCATATTAATAAACAACTAAGAAATTGGATTTACTTTTAAGATAATCAACTAATATAATGAGTAAAACAGTAAAATAATGTGTGTGTGTGTGTGTGTGTGTAACAGTGTGTATGTATATATAAATGTCAACCTTCTTGACGAGTTCCAGTAAATCCTTAAGAAATCCTTTGAGCTCTTCATTTTCAATCGTTCCGTTCTTATCCTAAATTCAGGTTTTAATTCAACCAATCAATTGATGAATCCATTTATTAGTGTTATTATAATTATGTTCATTACATTAAACTGACACAACATTATCAATAAATTAATGTCTAAAATAAATGACTTACTCTATCATATAAAGCGAAGACTCGTTCAATATCTTCTTTAGTCAGTTTTGAGGCGCCTTTGAATGCCGAACGACACAAGAAATTCTCTTTTACTGGAAGTAGTCTTTTTGTATACAAGTGGATCAGTTTATATCCATTTTAATCATAATGTAATACTAATCAATCAATTTATGTAATCAATTGCTAAAATGCTTTATAAAAATTATTCAAATTCTACAGTAATATAACATAACAATTCTGGAAGTCATCTAAAAGTATATTTTGCGAAATATCCGAAATAAATTAAGATATTCATTAATAATAACAAAAACATTTCCGCATATATTATATGTTATTATTTTGTTTATCTAATTTTGTAACATTTGTTCAAATTGAATAACATTAGTATAATACTTATATGTTTAGATGAACTCATTTTTAATGAATCATTTGCTTTTATTTTTAAACAATACTTATGATTCAGTTATACTGAAAAAGTTTAGGAAAAATTGTGTATTTATATTATTATAAACTAATTTATATAATATGTTCTTTTATATTACTAACACTAATTATGAATCATACAAATACTCTATTAATCCAATCAACATTATAAAGAAAATTTAAGCAAAAAAACTTTATTTTTATTGGAAAAGTTATGTATTCAATAAGATTTAAACAAAATATTATTGATACTGCATATACGGTATATATATATTACAAAATAAAGAATTAATATATAATATACGAAATAAATATTTGTGAATTTAATATTAATAAATAAAAAAATACTCTTCAGATAAGTCTTTGCAATTGTAATACTCTTATTATAAATAAGGTTTTGTTTGTCTCTATTCGAGACAAATACTTAACAATAATATATACATATATATTGTACTCTATATGTTAGGTTAGGTTTATATATTGTATGAAATAATAAAAGGATAGCAATTTCTTAATTGAATTTGAAGCCTATTTTTGGCTCTAAATTCTATAAGAATTAATATTATTTGAGATCTTAGGAATTGTGGTCTAATCTTTCAATTTAAAGCTCTGTGTTAACAATTAATGAAGATTTATATTATATATTATAAATTATAGATTTATTAGCTTCAAGAATAGGTATTCTATGAGAAATAAATAAATAAATTAAATGAAAAATTTGCAATAAAAATATGAAGTGTATAGTAGTAATAGTAGTGTATTATATATTCAATATAAGAGATCAGAAATGGCTTTAATTATGAATGGGATGTCATACTTAGCCATTTCACTCAATTGCAATTTGCCGTCTTTATTGGCATCAAATATATTGAGTAAAGTGTCGGTGTATTCAATGAGTTTGTCCTCATCTATCGATTCTCGTTTGGCTTCTCTCAATAAATCCTTCAAGAAGTTCTGGATAATTGTCATTAAATAATATTAATAATAAAATAATGATAATATTTGTTTTCAAAAATAAATAATCATTAAAAATTTATAATACAGGTATCAATAATACCTTTAATTCATCGGCCTCTATGTATCCACTGCCGTCAGTGTCATACTCTCTCCAAATCTAATTAATAATTGTTATAAAAAACAATTAAATAAAAAAATTTACAAATCAGTCAAATAAATAGTGCAATGAATGCAAACCTTCATAAATTCAACGCTTGATTCCAAAGGATTATCGAAACGGAAGAGAAGTAAAAAGCTTTCCTCAAGAGGTAGGAGTTGTGCCAACTGTTAAAAACATGTAATTCAATGGTTTTATTGAAATTCATTTTTATAACAAAACATTTGATGACAAGTCTGTCATTTAATTTAATCTCTTTATTTTGACACATACTTCGCGTATTTCTATTTTTCCGTCTCTATTGTCGTCGTAGGCCTCCATAAAACACTCTTTTAATTCGGCAAACATTGAGTCCGTCACCAACTAAATGATTAAATGATTAAATAATAATTTTTTAATTTTTTAAAATTATTTTTATACAAAAACAATACAATTTTTAATTTTTTCTTTTATTTTTATTTATTTATTTAAGAAATATTTAGTTATTATATAATAAATAAAATTTAAATACACTATAAATGTATTGATATAGTAATTTAATTAATTATTTTAGTATAATTATTATTCTGATCTTATTTGACACCTATTTATTTTGGAAAAACTAATGAAGCAATTATTTATCAGTAGTAATGTATCTAAACCTATAAACAAAGCAATTATTGCAAATTATATTTTCAACATAACATCTCATTGAATGACTTTTTTAGATTCATTTTATTTTACAATACGTTTCTCATGTTTTAATTACTATTATATATCATTAGCAATAAAATAGTAAATATATAAACAAATCATTACCTCTGGTCCGACATCGATAGCATTTACCGAACTGACAAATTCCCGGAGAAAATTGTCCAGTTCTCGGCCCTCTATATAACCATTTCCTTAATTGAAAAATATAAATATGCAAAATAATTAATATTTTATTTAAAACTAAAAAATAAAACTCAATTAATCTTAAACTTAGTTTTTCTAATAATATATTTTAAGATTAGTCAAAATGCTAGTCAATATTTAATATTTTTTGTATATTTTTTTATTTGTATTTTATTTAAATATATTATAATAAATAAGTCTGACTATTATAAATTAACTGTATGTGATTAAGTCATACAATAATATATAGATAGAAATTAGTGCAAAATGTAATTTGTCTTTAAGCAAACATTATTCATTTATTACAATATATTAATTAGAATAAACTTAATTGTTATTTATATATATTTTGATTATATCAGATAGTTATATCATTTATTGTTTTATTTTAAATGTCATTTATTTAATTTATGACAAGCAATATATAATTTAATAATATAATTTATTTAATATAAGTATTTATAATAAGCAATTTTTAAATTATAAAAAATGTTAATTAAAATTAAGTGTTACGAATACAATTGAATTATATTTAATTAATGTCATATGAGATTTGCTTAAACATTGACACTTATATTCAATAAAACCGACAATAGAAACAAAGTTTGTTAAATAAAAATATAAAATTTATTATATTGTGGTTTATAAATAATAAACATGTTTTTGAAGTTGAATTTAGTTTATGGCAAACTATTTTGTGTTCACTTTAGTAAATGACACGTTATTTCACGCAATATATCGACCGAAATAATACATTTGAAGGACAGATATGCAACTGATTTGACCTCTTTTTTAATAATATTTTAGATATACTGTACACCAATGTATAAAATATTCATAAATGCTCTTCAATTTTAATATAAATGCATTTCAAAATAACACATTTCAAATTTTTAGATTTATTTATTTTAATCTATTTTAAGTTTATAAAATATAAAATTATTTACTTCAATTTAACAATGCAAAAATAATAATACTCTAATAATAAATAAGTGCTTAATATTTTTTGACTAAGTTAAACATAATTTAGATATGTATAAAATTAAATAAATTTTTTACTTATAAATATTGTTATTATTTTTAATACGATTATACTTATAACAGCTGATTGTTAAAGTAGTTGACAATTACTGGTGATTATTGATTACTGCAGTATATTATAGCAATGCAAATATGCACGATATATTGTAATTTAAGTAACTCATGTAATTTTGATGTGAAACTTCAATATTTCAAACAATTATTTTCATAATGACTTTATATACTATAGTATTTGTATATTGAATAATAAAAAATAATTTTATTTAATTTATTTAATTTTGTTAGATCTATTATATTGTATATTTTATGCGCTAATAAAATAACACAATTTAAAAAGTCCTATTTTAAACATTATGATTCTTCAAAATCAAATACAATTAGATTTAAATAAATTATAAATTAAGTTAAAGTAAGTTTTAATGTAAATGTCATTCCAATGAAAAGCCACATAAATAAACATATTTTTAAATCATTCGTAAAAAATAAAAGATATTTTTTATTTGACAACAAATTGATGTTTAAATTTACTAAAACTGAATTTCTATGAGAGACTGGAGCTGTCGGTATAAATGTATGATAACTTACATCAAATTTATATAACATTATTATTATATATGAATCTATAAATCAATAGCAAATAACATAATTTATATCATCGCTTATAATTTATTCTGGTTTTTTTAAATATTTGAATTTTTAGTATATTTAACAAAAAATGTATCAAAAATATATTTTTAACTTTAAAAATTTATTAGTTGCAGGTCTTTACTAAGTTTTATTCTTTAAGTAAATGTGATTAATGTAAAATGCTATTAATATTTAAAAATTTTGGTCAACATTTCTAACATTAGGTATCACTTTAATTTTATATAACTTTAATTTATAAAACTATTTATATACTACAAAATATTAATATAATATACTGTATATTGTGTATAATGTTAAACCAAGAGTTTATATATATATATATATATATATCTAAGAAATCTAAATAATTATATATATATATATATTACACATAATTTATTGGTATATAGAATACAGTTTATATAAATGTACTGTATACATTTTACAGTATGTAATATATTAAAAAGTTATAAATATTTTAAGAAAACTATAAATAAAACATTTGTTATAATGTTTTACTTCTAATAAAACAAAACAAAATTAAAATAATGAATATTCACATTAAATATAAATAGTTATAAAATATCATATAATTTATATAAAGTTGTTAGTGTTTATTTTATTTTAAATTTTATTAAACATTGTGAATGTCATTATTTTGTTTATAATAAACAAAATTATTTGCATAAATAATAATTATTATAATTTGTTAGAAATCTAACCTAGAACTAAATTAATATAATATATATAGTATTATTGGTAACAATGTTATGTAATTAATCATAAATAATACTTTTTGTTTTAAAGTCATTTACAAATTAGATTATTAATTTATATTAATACTATATATTATTAATTCACGTTTTAATAAAAAAAATTGTAATGATGGTCATAGATAAGCTCAACAGTATTTTGAAATTTAATTAAAATTGTTTTAAATTCGTAAAATAAAAAAATTAATTTATTGTTATATAATGTTTTTACAACGGTTGAAAAAATCCAAATGTTTTATTATTTTTAACAATATTTTCATTTTTTTCAAACATTAGATAATATAATATATCAACATTTTAAAAAATTAATTATTCACTAACAGTTAGAGTTTGGTTAGTTTACAGAGTGGACCAAAACTATAAATTTCTAAAAATATTAGAAAATTTATAGAAAGTTTCTAAAATAAATTTTTTCTATGGGTTACCATGTTAATTTTGTTTTATCGATATCTGTTATCGTCTAGTAAACTATAATTATTAATATTAACTAAATAGAATTATTCGTATTTTAATTAATTATTATTAAGAGTTAAAAAATTATTATATTTTATTATATATTTTATATTTTTTAAATTAAAATTATTTAAAAACTATACTTTACAATAAAATTAAGTTATATTTGCAAATAACAGATATTACTGTTATTGGAATCGCAATTGTATAATATATAGCTGCTATTGGCATAAATCTTTGTAAAATTAAATTACACAAATAAACTAATACAAATTAAATGAGTATGGATATCATACTCATTGTTTGATATAAATTAAAAAGTTATTAAAAAATATCTGTAAAACTTGTTATGTTATACTGTATAATTTATGCATATATATGCAATAGCTATGATTGATATAATATATAGCTGCTATATTATAGCATATTTTAACAATATATGCATTTTATGGGGATCCTAATGTATAGCATAATGATAAAGTATGTATTATATTAATACATACACACAAACACTAGTATTTTTTTGATAAAAATGTAAACAAAACTTTTTAAAAGTTTGTTTGAATATATTTATAATATAATTTTAATAACAGATAAAAATATTTAAAATATTATTTAAAATACTAAATTTAATATAATTTAATTTAAATATTCATCTGTTGTCAAGTTGTAATTGATTTCAATATTTAATTTACTTAACAAAAAAGCATTTTTAATTGTTTTGATGCGTTGTCAAGCAATTAATAATTAAAGCTTAATGATACTATAAATTGCTTAATAATATAAAATAACAAAATGAAATTACATATAAATTTATACCGGTTTATAAAAAATATAAATTTTTACATTTACTTATTTTCAAATGATATAATGTATAAAATCAAATAAATAGAATATTTTTTAGAAAAGCTTTATAAGAAATATCGATCAATAGGTATAGTAATATTGAACTATTAAAACCACTTTTTGTTAAATTAAAACCATTTTTGTTAACATTGTATTATACATTGTATACTATTTAAAATTAGAAAAATTGAAATTTTGTTTTATTATTTTATTGTTATTTGAATTTTTATAAAATTTATCTATGAAAGTCCATTTATTTAATTAGTTTTTTATTACTATACAAGTTTAGACTATAAAATGTGTAGATTAGTAAAAATAACTGTAAAATTCCGATTATTATAATACCGATATATTTAATTTTATTTGTAAAATAAATGACAAAAACACTACAAATATTTTACTGTACTTCCAATTCTTCTATTTAAATTTAATTGTAAAATGTATTTATTTTATAGAATATATTTTTAATATAAATTTCATTCAATATTTTTTAGATTTATTTATAAATATTAAAATTAATAAATATGTTAGATAATTATATATTATTTAGATTAAATAATGAAATTTATTAATTAATAATAAATAACTAATAATAAACAGTAATTTTAACTAAAAAGCTAATAAAATTCACAAACAAAATCTTTTAACTTATATTAAAAATGATTTACTTTTTTGTTGTTTTTAGTTAAATAAACAATTTCTTTACTTTGAAGATATCCCGGAGTGGCGTCCAAGAGATCAAAGACGCTTCAAGACTTATATCTAACTTTTGATTGATTTTTTATATATCAGAAACATTGATATTATATATAAAAAGTCTGTTTTTAGTAATCACTTATAAAGCTGTTTGAGAATATCATAAACACTCACAAAATGTTTGAATCCGATATCATTTCATTTCATTTTTGCTTTCGTCTGAATTCAATAAATTTATATAATTGATTGATAGTGTGTTTGTGTTTATTTTATTTTATTCATTTTAATTATTAATTTTTGTATATACTGTATATAAGTTAAAAAAAACTTTATTTTTATTTAATACATTACTTGCACTAATAAACTGGATTTAATTAAAAAATTATAATAATTTAAATATTATAATTATTACAATACAATATCTTTATTATATTATATTTGAAAAAATGTTTATGTTTATTTATTAGCATATATTAATATATGATAAGAGTAATTGTAAATAAAATTAAAATAGTATTTGTACATAAAAAATGATATGAGTAAATAAATTTAATCAAAATTTATTTTTTCTA